GCTCACAGGCTTTTAAGACCCCAGATGCTACTCAACCAAGGTAGAATGTAGAACATTTTCTTTATCAACTGTGTTATGCCAGTTGAGCTAGATGTTCCCCAAGACCATGGTCTCCACGGCCCTCCACCCAGCAATTCAGTCCCTCGGGGAGTTGGGAAGTGTCTATGGATTCCATGACCTTTCCTTGTACAAGTTGTGCTGGCTTCCCCAGTATTGTGTACTGTCTTACCCTTCACCAAAGTTAGCACTTCTCTATTGTCTGTTTAGTTCCCCCCCCATCCCTCATAACCAACAAAGATTGTTTCTTTTTGTCTGTAAACTTTTACATCAGTTTTTACAGTAGAATTCTCATACAATATTTGTCCTTTCGTGATTGACTTATTTCACTCAGCATAATGTCCTCCAGTTTTATCCATGTTATGAGATGCTTCACAGATTCGTCATTGTTCTTTATCGTTGCATAATACTCCATTGTGTGTAGGTACCATAGTTGATCTGTTCATCTGTTGATGGGCATCTAGGTTGTTTCCATCTTTTTGCTGTTGTGAACAGTGCTGCAGTGAATATGGGTGTGCATATATCTATTCGTGTGACGGCTCTTATTTCTCTAGGATATATGCCTAGGAGTGGGATTGCTGGATGGTACAATTTCTATTTGTAGTTTTCTAAGGAAGCGCCATATCATTTTCCAAAATGGTTGTATCATTTTGTGTTCCCACCAGCCGTGCATCAGAGTTCCATTCTCCCCACATCCTCTCCAACATTTGTCATTTCCAGTGTTTTTTTGATATGTGCAAGTAATGCAGGAGTGAGATGGTATCTCATGGTGGTTTTAATTTGCATTTCTCTAATGACTGTTGATCAGGAGCATTTCCTCATGTGTCTGTTGGCCACTTGAATGCCTTCTTTGGTGAAGTGTCTGTTCATTTCCTTTGCCTATTTTTTAATTGGATTATTTGTCTTTTTGTTGTAGAGGTGTTGGATTTTCTTATAGATTTTAGAGATTAGACCTTTATCTGACGTGTAATGTCCAAAAATTTTTTTCCCAGTCTGTTGGTTCTCTTTTTACTCTTTTGGTGAAGTCTTTTGATGAGCATAAGTGTTTCATTTTTAGAAGATCTGTCGTGCTGATCTTGTTTCTTTTTTTCAAGGATCATTTTCTTGTGCTGCTTGTTGTCCCGTGGCAGACACCCGTTGTTGTATGCATTTTGTCTGCTTTTTTAATTGCTTAAGATAGGAGGATAAATTAATTTCACTCCATCATGGTTCAATGTGGAAGTACTGCCCGGGTCTCTTAAGGATGTAACAAAAGGCATCTTGGTGGGCTACCTTTAGAGAGAAATATTTTTGCCCACTCAAATTAATGGATATTGAAAAACTAATGTTCAAGCTGTAGTCCTATGTCATCACTGGTTGCCAAGTATGTTGGGAGGGTTGGTCAGGAAGCTTTAGTCAACCAACCTTAATGTTTAGGAGAGAAATGTTAAGTCATGATGACATCATTTTTATCATTTTTCTTGATATATTGGTAAGAATATTTTATTGCCTGCTTTGCATAGAGAGAAGAGGGAAATGAAACATGCTCCGTTATCCTTGTCCAACCTTGCCACCTTTTTATGCCATTTAGCGTCAGGGCTCTCTTAGTAAGTCTTACCTCCTTAAATGTTGGTAATAGCATATTGTGATAGTTAATAGTTTTAGATTATAAGACTGGAGGTCATACTTCCTAATCTGGTTGGAGGAGGCACAAGCTTTAGAATTTTTTTTAAACGATTTTCAGAGTTCCAGTCCTGCTGTCTTTTAAATTGGGCGCATAGTGTTTGGATGTTAAGCTACCTTTTGTTAGAATGACATTTATAAGTTTTTTTTTTTCTTTTTCAGTTATTCAAGCGAAGAAATGTTGCTACAGCCGAAGAAGAAACAGAAGAAGTTATGTCAGATGGAGGCTTCCATGAGGCCCAGATTAATAACATGGAGATGGCACCAGTAAGTGAGATGATGAACTCTTTTAATTTTTTTGTAATGAAAACCTGAGATGTAGATGTCTTTTTGACTTTAAAAAAGTATTAGATGGCTCCAAAAAGTGCTTGGCATTTCATTTATAAAAGAAGCAGTATACTTAATCTCGTGGTTTATTAAACGTTTATTATTATATTTCAAGTAATGTGCAGTTAAAATTAACTTAATTATAAAGGTTAGTTTAATGATAAAAAACTTCTGATAAATATAAGACAGAATTATTCCTTGGAAGTTGAATAGCAAGAGAGACTTTGAAGGAAATCATAATTTGCTATTCGTTTCAGTTATAAAGTTGGACATGTTTGTATGATTACAAAAATTTGTTTCACAGCACAAGTACTGTAATTTTTTAGTTATAACCGAAATTTGTAACTTTAAAAAAAAAAAATTGTATTGTGGCAAAATGTATATAACAAAATATTTGCCATGTAATCATTTTTAAGTGTGCAGTTCAGTGACATTAATTGTATTCACCATGTTGTACACTATTTTTTTCCACATGTGAGTGGAATCATACAATATTTGCCCTTTTGTGTCTGGCTTATTTTACTTACCATAATATTTTCAAGACTCACCCATGTCATAGCATGTATCAGAAGTTTATTTCTTTCTGTGACTCAGTAATCTTCCATTATGTGGGTCTACCACATTTTGTTTGTCCCGTCATCTGTTCATAGACACTTTAGTTGTTTCCACCTTTTGGCTGTTATGAATAATGCTGCATTGAACATTGGTGTAATGTAACTTTTTTGAGGTTACATGAAAAGATAAAAAATGATGCTTTATTTATATGCATCAGAACTGTCTAGACTTTCGGCTTATAATTGGTTATTTAATTTTTGTAATAGATCTTACATATAGCTGGTTTTACAAAAAAAAAAAGCTGAAAACATACATATTGAAAAATATTTTTCTTTTACCTCAGTCATCTACTTTCTTTTCCCAGTCGCAATCACTGTTACTAGAATCTTAATTTATTTTGAATTTTTTTGTATATTAGAAAATAAAATTTCTTTTTCCTCCCCCCTTTTTTTGCAAACAGTGGCATATTTTCTATAGTATTTTGTAGTTTTTTTTTCCTTTTGTTCACTTCATAGATCTGTAGTTTATATGGATGAGTTAATTCTCTTTGAACTTGAATAGATATAGATGTGATAGCCAACACTTTCATTTTATGGTGTATGCTTCTAGGCCCTTCAGAACGTCAGACTTCCCAGTATTTTTAAAAAGTGGATGTTGAATGGATATAAAGTTTTTGTGACCCTTTTTGGTCTCTAACTTTCTGCAGCTGTTTCTTATTGAATAGTCTTAACTGTTGGGACTGTCCCACAATATCTCCTATGACACCTGATTTGTCCTTTGGAGGTCTTTTGGTGTAGCTGTTCCTGCATTTGGGATCCTCAGAATGTTAACCTTTCAGGCTCAATACATTTCTAAAAGGGGACTTAATTGATAAAAATGTGTCAGTGTTATAGTATGGTCATATTACACACTGGGAATGATAAGGGTATAGCCTATAAATCTGAAGTATTTTAAAAAGATAGAGAAAAAGAGATATTGATTGATTATAGAGTCATAGAAACTGGAATTACCTTAACCAGTTGCTGAGAACTTTGTTCTAAGAGCCTGGTTAGCTTATAATCACTGCTGAGATTAATGTTTGTTTCGATTGAATTATGGCCCCCCAAAATATGTGTCAATTTGGCTAGGCCATTATTCCCAGTATTGTGTGATGGTCCATCATTTTGTCTTCTGATGTGATTTTCCTAAGTGATGTAAATCCTACCTTTATGATGTTAATGAGGCAGGATTAGAGGTAGTTATATTAATGAGGCAGGGCTCAATCTTCAAGATTTGGTTGTTTCTTGAGTCATTCTCCTTTGAGATATGGGAGAAGTGAACAGAGAGACATGGGGACCTCATACCACCAAGAAAGTAGTGCCAGGAGCGGAGTGTGTCCTTTGGACCCGGGGTCCCTGTGTTGAGATGCTCCTGGACCAGGGGAACATTGATGACAAGGACTTTCCCTCAGGACCAACATAGAGAGAGAGAACCTTATCCTGGAGCTGGTACCCTGAATTCAGACTTCTAGCCCCCTAAACTGTGAGAGAATAAACTTCTGTTTGATAAAGCCATCCACTTGTGGTATTTATGCTATAGCAGCACTAGATAACTAAGACACTGTTCTCATTTGTTTTTCAAAAAATAACAGAAGCCCTAAAACTTAAGCTCTGTAGCCAATGTAAAATCTCCAAGGTTGAAAGTGTATTGAAATGAAAAGAGGATACTAAAATAAGTTTGTGAGAGAAAATGATAACATTCTGGAGCCCAGATAAAGGAGAACAAGAATTGATCAGTGTTGTTTATGAGTCCTGGTTTTTAAAATAAGTTATCTCTAAATCGACAGAGATCACTTAATTCGTTATAATTTGATGGTAATATATATTCTTCAGAACTGTTTATCTTACTTTACTCTGATTGTAGTCAGCAAACATTCTATTTGTTTTTGCTTCCTAGGAGGTTATAAGGATACTCTCAGAATGCTGTCTGTGTAGATGACAAGTTTTATGAATGAGTGAAATATGAATTCTAAATGTGAATTTTGATTAAATTGTGTTAACTGTTTCACTCAATCTTGATCAGTCCTTGATGAACTGAGCCTATAAATGTAGTAACTCAGTGTTCAGGATTTTCAGAGATAGTCCACATTTTGTATGTTGCACTCCATGCCCAAAGCATGAGAATCACATCTGAGTTCCGATATTCTTAATTCTTTTTGTCATTTAGCAACTGTGTAACTGTTACTGAGCTTATCTCCTCATCAGTGGAGTAAGAGTTATACTACCTACTTCATTGTATTATATGAGTATTAAATGGTATAATAGAGTAACTTGTCCAGAAAGGAGAAGGTAAAAGGATTTTAAAGGGAAAAAGTCTCCAGGAGAAAAAGAGGGACTTGATAGCCTACCTGATAATAATGGAAAATTGGGGTCGGGAGTGAAGATGATCATGTAAAATATAGTGCAAGGGGAAAAAAAAAGGCAGTAATTTCAAGAATGTCAGAAAGAACGTATACACTATTCTAGGGGAGCATCTAGCTCAATTGGCATAACATAGTTTATATAGAAAGTGTTCTACATTCAACTTTGGTGAGTAGCATCTGGGGTCTTAAAAGCTTGTGAGCGGCCATCTAAGATACATCTACTGGTCCCACCCTGTCTGGAGCAAGGGAGAATGAAGAAAACCAGAGACATAAAGGAAAGCTTAGTCCAAAGGACTAATGGACCACAACTACCACGGCTTCCACCAGATTGAGTCTAGAACAATTAGATGGTGCCTGGCTACCATCACCGACTGCTCTGACAGAGATTACAATAGAGGGTCCTGGACAGAGCTAGAGAAAAATATAGAACAAAATTCAAACTCACGAAAAAAAAAAAAAAGACTTAGTGGTCTGACAGAGACTGGCGAAACCCCAAGAGTATGGCCCTGGACACCCTTTTAACTCAGTACTGAAGTCATTCCTGAGGTTCACCCTTCAGCCAAAGATTAGACAGGCCTATAAAACAACACATGTAGTTCAGCCATGTATATGAGACTAAATGGGTACTCCAGCCCAGGGTCAAGGATGAGAAGGCAGGAGGGGACAGGAAAGCTGGATGAATGGAAATGGGGAACCCAGGGTTGAGAAGTGAGAGTGTTGGCACTTTGCAGGCTTGGTAACCAATGTCACAAAACAATTTGTGTATTAATTGTTTAATGAGAAGCTAATTTGCTCTGTAAACTTTCACCTAAAGCACAATAAAAAAAAAAAGGAAAAAATATATACTATTAGGCTGTATGGTAAGTAATATTTATATAGTTGCATGAGTACCAGCATTGTCTGTTGAGTTTCAGATTTTAGAGTCAATCCTCGACAAAGCACATAAAAACAATATACAGATGTTGTCACCTTTAACAATGTAAATAATAGTATAGGTGACATATTGTGGGAGGAGTAAAGAAAAAGGTAAGGCATATAAATAGCCTTATTTTAGAAAGTGGGGCATTGAGAGTCTGTCTGTTGTTTGTGATATTATTTTAAGCTATATAATAACAAACTGAAATTTTTTAATTACATACATAAGAGAATATAGACTCCTTATATAAATAAAAACAGTAAGGACGAAGGAAAAGCACTTCTCCTGCTCGGTCATACCCTTTTGGTATATATCCTTCCAGACCTTTTCTGTCTAATTATACATGTACACACACAGGCACTTATATCATTCTTTAAATCATCTTTCATAGATAATTTGAATTAAAAGCAAACCAGTGCCATGGAGTCAATCCTGACTCATGGCAACCCCATGTGTTGCAGAGTAGAATTGAGCTCCGTAGAAATTTCAAGGCTGTAACCTTTTGGGAAACAGATGACCAGGCCTTTCTTCTGAGGCTTCTCTGGCTGGATTCAAACTGCCAGCCTTTTGGTTAGTAGTTGAGCATGCTTAATTGTTTGTGCCACCAAATTATTAAGAATTTAATTTGCTTTTAAAAGCTGATTTGTTATGCATCTCCTTCATATCTTATTCACTGGAGTGTTCTTATAGGGAAACAGGCAAGAGTGTTTCCTGCTGGTGATTCCTTCAAATTGCAGAAAAACACTGGAACTTTATGGAAAAATTTCAAAGAGATTGTGTTCACTGAGAGGCAGAATAGTGTGGACTCTGGAGCCAGACTGTGCATTAGCTGTGTAACTAACCATGGTAAAATACTTAGTTTTCTGTGGTTGATATGAGGACTGAATTCACATAAAGCACTTAGAACTGTGCATGGTCCACAATAAGTATTTAAAAATGTTGGTTATTCTGCTAAATTGTTACTAGTTCAGAAACATGGCACTAGTGTAAGTTTCCTTGGAAAAACTGAGATTTTCATAATCCCCTCAGTTTTTAGAGTTTTACATAGCCTATGTGGATGCCGGGACCCAATCAATAGTCTTCATAGTACATTTAATAACTGTTAATTTTATAACTCAGCAACTGTTATATAATGTGTCTTTTTCTTCTACATCAGATGTTTTTCTGAGTTAGTCTAGATTTGTTTATGCTGCGTAAGTTTTGCTTGCATAAACCTTGGAGTGAAGTAGACCTAAGTTTAGGAAAGGGAACTCTCTTTCAAAGAGAGACTTTTGGGAAGACTGATAGATTCTTGTAAAAACATATTTAAATAAGGAAAACAAAATATACTTAAATAGATACAGCCAAAAAAGAGAGATCCTTATTTATGTTAAACAGACCAAACTTTAAAGGAAGTAAAATCATAATTAAAATTTATTCTTTCTCTTTTAAACTGATGACTTTTTGTTTGTTTGATTTTAAATCCGTAAGCTTTAAGAACACTCTTCGTAACTCACCCTCACCCCCTATTTTGGAATCATAGCACTTTTGAGCTAATCTGAAGGGAAGTGGGTAGTCTTAGAATTGTCTAAATGTAAAACTACTCTCTTCTTTTCTAAAGGTAGACTCTCTCCCTGCAAGGCTTCTGAAAGTAATTAAAATGGTAGTCTTGTTTTACCCTTGCCTTGACTCCTGACCTCAAAAGAGAGAAAATCATTTAGGTACCGTTGTATATTTAGGAATCAGTCTTGCTGATTTGAAAGTAGTTACTTTTCTGTTCTTTTAAAAAGAGAAAATGTCATTCTTCCCTATGGGAATTCTTAGGTGTTAGGTGTTGCTTGAGGAGCCCTGGTGGTACAGTGGTTAAGAGCTCGGCTGCTAACTGAAAGGGCGGCAGTTTGAACTCACCAGCCGCTTTGTGGGAGAAAAGACCTGTGACCTGCTCCTGTACAGATTGCAGCCTAGGAAACCCCATGGGGCAGTTCTGCTCTGTCCTGTAGGGTTGCTGTGAATTGGAATTGACTCAACAGCACACAACAACAACAACAGGTGTTGCTTACCAGGTGCCCAGTGTTTACAACTCTGTGCAGCTTTCTTCACAATTTCATCTTGTTGACTGTAACCCTGTATGAGGTGATAAGAACTCATAGCGACAGGTGGCCCTGAGAAGAAGGGTAACTGCTAATAATGGGGATGCACTGTAGTAGGAAGCTGGAAAGTTCCAATAAAACAAGAAAGTAGTGGGAAACACAAAAGTTTTAATAAAACAAGAAAATAGAAATTTTAAATAAATTTTTGAGTCAGGTGTTGAATTTGGCAGTAGCTGGAATCTATGTTTTATACAAGACCATTCTGCATACATTCAACAAATATTTGTTGAGCGTGTATTACATGCTAGACGTTAGTGATAGGTAAAACAGACAGAATCTTTGGCTTTCAGGAGCTTACAGTCCTACTTAGGGAACCCAGGCAATAAACAGATAAGCAAGAAACATACCTGACAGTGATGAGAGCTGGGTAGAGGATCAAAGTAGTGTGTTGTGATAGAGATTGAGTGGCTTCTTTAGATTTGGAGGTCATGAAAAGCCTTCTTTTATAATTTAACATTTAATCTTAGAATTGAATGAAAGGGACAGCCAGCCATGTGGCAAGCAAGGAAAGGAAAAACAATTCAGGCAGGTAGTTCAAAGGTCATAAGGCAAGAAACCTTGGTATTTTTGAGGAACAGAATAGTGGCCAGAGGGACTTCAGTGTAGTGGGCAGAAGGTATAAGATGAGGTTGGCTAGATAGGCGGGAGCCATATCTTGTATACCTTTGTAGAAGGTGGACATTTTTGTAAGTGCTAGGAATTTTGAATAGGGAATGTCTTCTGATTTAAGTCTCTACTGTTTATGGAAAGAATAAGAAGCAACTGATACAACTTTCTGACCATTTCAAAAGTTTCATATTATAGTCATCTTTGGGAACCTAGGGATTTACAATGATTTTGAGATGTATTTCTCATGACTGTCAAAAGTGTACTATTGTTGATATTTGTATTTTAAATATTCTAACAAACTATGTTACATACACACAATGGAGTACTATGCAACAATAAACAACGATGAATCTGCAGAGCATCTCACAGCATGGATGAATCTGGAGGGCATTATGCTGAGTGAAATAAGTCAATCATAAAAGGACAAATATTGTATGAGATCACTACTATAAAAACTCATGAAAATGTTTACATACAAAAAGAAATAATCTTTGATGGTTATGAGGGAGCTGAGGGGTGGAAAAACACTAACTAGACAATAGATAAGTGGTAACTTTGTTGAACGGTAAGACAGTACCCAATACTGGGGAAGCCAGCACAACTTGTACAAGGAAAGGTCATGGAGACTCCATGGACACATCCAAACTCCCTGAGGGACTGAATTACTGGGCTGAGGGCTGTGGGGGACCATGGTCTCAGGGAACATCTAGCTCAGTTGGCCTACCATAGTTTATAAAGAAAATGTTCGATATTCTACTTCGGTGAGTAGTGTCTGCAGTCTTAAAAGCCTGTGAGCGGCCATTTAATATACTCCACTGGTCTCACCTTGTCTGGAGCAAGGGAGAAGAAAACCAAAGACACAAGGGAAAGATTAGTCCAAAGGACTAATGGAACACAATTACCACAGCCTCCACCAGATTGAGTCCCGCACAACTAGATGGTGCCTGGCTACCACCACCGACTGCCCTGACAGGAACACAATAGAGGGCCCCAGACAGAGCTGGATCAAAATGTAGAACAAAATTCTTACTTAACAAAAAAAGACCGGACTTACTGGCCTGACAGAGACTGGAGAAACCCCGAGAGTATGGCCCCTAGACACCTTTTTAGCTCAGTAATGAAGTCACTCCCAAGGTTCACCGTTCAGCCAAAGATTAGACAGGCCCATAGAACAAAACGACTAAAGGGGCACACCAGCCCAGGGGCAAGGACGAGAAGGCAGGAGGGGACAGGAAAGCTGGTAGTGGGGAACCCAAGGTTGAGAAGGGACTGTAGGGTAGGTAACCAATGTCACAAAACAGTATGTATACTAATTTTTTAATGAGAAGCTGGTTCTGTAAACCTTCATCTAAAGTACAATTAAAAAAAGGAAAAAAAAAATATTATTAATCTAAATTGTTAAGATATAATTGTTAATGTGCTGGTATTACATTTTTCTCTTTGAAGGTTTATTCCTTTTAAGAGGGATTATGATGCAAGTTATTTTTCAGAGACAAACTTCCCATCTCAATAGAAATCAGAGGAAAAGTGATCTGCTTTTACTGTAATTATACTATCTTTGTTCTAGAATGTGAGGAATGCTCGAATTCCTAATACTTTATAATCTCTGTTCTTATATATTACTTTTTATTTTTCTTTTTGTCATTATATTTTGTTGCTCACAATCACTTTAGCTGGTGCTCTAGGTTAATTTTTTTAGATCTTAAATTTCCAATGAGAACAGTAAGCCCCTTGTCTTAGCATTTACTTACTAAGATTATTTTATCACTGTTGTGAGCTTTTTAATGACAAAGAATTTGGCTTCAAGTGTAATATATGCTCCCTTGTCACTTTATTAATCATTTCATACATTTCTGTATGTAAAGATTATCCTACCTTTTTGTAACTCTTCTAGAGAAATATAATTAACTTATTAACTTGGCCACAGTTTATATTATCTTTGTTTTCCTCTGAATTAAGGTTAACATTTTGTTATATATTTGCTTTTTGTTTGTGATTCCAGGGTGGTGTCATTACTTCTGATATGATTGAAATGATATTTTCCAATAGCCCAGAGCAACAGCTTTCAGCAACGCAGAAATTCAGAAAACTGCTTTCAAAAGGTGAGCTCTGCATATTTTGAGTGTATTTTCTCATATATTTACAAAATATTACTTTCCTGTAGTCTGTTTTTTATACCATGGATTGATTACTTTGCAGTGTCTCTCTCAACAGAAAGAAAGGACAGATGTAGATAAACATACAATTATGAGTCATGCCTAATGTCTGAATTTATTTATTTGTAGGATCTTACTGGGACCAGAAAGCAGTATTATTTTTTATTTCTGAGCTGTCTTATAAAAGACAAAGGACCCTAGAGTGATAAGAGTGGTAGTCAACATTTCAAGTTAGTTCCAGATTGATAAATTCCACCCTTTTTTAAGATAAACTTTTAAAATATCACTTGAAAGATCAGTAATTGTTAATTTAAATGTTAGCAGTTTACCACTGAACATTAAGTATAGATTTCTTGGTGGGCAGGATAACTACCCTTTTTTGTATAATTAGCATAGAATGGAATAGGATACTTCTTGTCACGCTGGGCAAAGAAAAAGAACTCTGAACCATATTAAAATTTTCATGGTAAATATTTAAACCAGCTGATCCCTCAGTAGTCAGTTAAGGTTGTTGTTAGTTGCTGTCTGTTGAGTCGTTAGTTGAGTTGGTTCCAACTCATGGCGATCCCACTGTTCCATAGGGTTTCTTGACTATAATCTTTACAGAAGCAGATTGCCAGGTCTTTTCTTCTGCAGTACTTGGGTTTGAACTGCCAGCCTTTGTTAGCTCTCGAGCACAAACTGTTCACGGCACTTAGGAACCTTATAGTCATTAGTGGGGGAAATACATATATATATATATCCCTTGAAGTTAACTGGAGTAAAAAAACCACCACCACATGCACAAAAAAATTATGTCTTTTGCATGACAGCCTATTAATCTTTGAAGACCATTTTCATGTACACCTTCCCACCCCACAGAAAAGTCCTGTCAGTTTTCAGCATGCTGAGCCTAATGGGTTTCTCACATAATGTGGCTTCAGTTGCTTTTTGAAAATTCAGTTGCGGAATTTTGCTTTATCCCTTTTGTTTTATTACTAACTTTGGCTTATTGTTCTTCCTTCTATATGTTATTGCTGTTATCCAGCATGCTAAATAACTCATCTTTATTGTAATCCTCAAATGTATTTGCTTTGTTTATCTGGATGGTTGATAAAAAACGTTGAACCAGGCAAAGGACCTGTCTTTAGAGCTCTTTCCAAATTAACATTGAAATGTTACTTAACTCTTTCAGTTAAGGCTATTGACTTGGCTAAAAATCTCTAGTAGTACTGTAATCCAGCTGCCTTTTCTCCAGCATTGCCATGTGACTGTCATCAAAAACATTGTTAAGCTCTTACTGAAATTAGCATACTGATTATCTGTGGCATTTTCTGTTTGCCCAGCAAGTTTTTATTGAATAACTTTATTTATAAGATATTACCATAAATGAAAATGAGGTTAGTTTGGCAGTCATCCTTAGTGAATTCCTTCTGGCTCCTAAACATTAAATCCTTCACGTACACACATAATCCCCTAATGCAGTTTCTGAAGGCAGTTCATGTTAAACAAAACAAATAGACTAACAGCTCATGCACAGAAAAAGGGCTAGAGGAGAGTATACCAGAATATGAACAGTGGTTGTCTTTGGGTGGTTTTTCCCCTGATTTCTAAATTTTCTAAAATAGTAGAGACCATAATTTTATTTTTTAGGAATTTTGCCCATCCTTTACTCTCATGTTAAGACTTAGCTTCTTTGTGAAACCTTTCAAACTACCCTTGTCTTAAAGTGACTGAATTCAGTTTCAATTCTACATTATTTTTGTGGATTTCCAACATGGAAGACATAAAATGGAAGTGGGTGGGGATATTATGAATTAATTTTGAGCTATAAAGTCTTTTGCTTTGAAATCAAAGGACTGTTTTTCTCTCTCCTTTTGTTTTATGGGGAAACAGAACCTAATCCTCCTATTGATGAAGTGATCAGCACACCAGGAGTAGTCGCCAGGTTTGTGGAGTTCCTCAAACGAAAAGAGAATTGTACACTGCAGGTGCGAAACATTTTAATTTCTTGCCTAATACCTTAATTCCCATTGTAAACTTATGTTCTGTACATGAATTTTTTTACCTGTTTTAATCCATATGAAAAGTTTTTTTTTAACAATGATATTCCAGACCACCGCATTGCAAGCAGTTTTATATCTTTATTAACCTTCAGCCCTTTAAAATTCTTGTCATTTTTAATCACTTAAAGTTGTTTTATGATGATTGTGGATAATACTTACCTAATAGAGAAATATGTACAGCATATGAGCCATACATAGGAACCCATGTGGGGGCTATGTAAAATTTGATTGAGGGATTTTTAAATTATACTTGTTGGCTTTCTTAAGGTTGTGTAACAAGGGCTAGATCAGAGACTGACTCATCTCCAAGCCTGGTTCTATGTATTCCCCTCTTCCTTCCCAAAAGAGCTGATGAGGAGATAGACTTGTCAGGAATCTGTATGCATTCTGCTACGCTAATTTATTCTGTCAATACTATACTATATAGAGGTTCCAAGAGGAAATTCTATAGTTGTCAACTGACTCTCATCTTGGGAGTTATTTAAAGATTTTAAAATACTATTTTTTCCTTAATAAAATTGGATTTCAGTAACCAAAAAACCCAAACCCACTGTCGTCAAGTCGATTCTGACTCATAGCTACCCAGTAGGACAGAGTAGAACCCCCCCATAGGATTTCCAAGAAGCGGCTGGTGGATTTGAACTCCCGACCTTTTGGTTAGCAGCCAAGCTCTTAACCACTGCGGCACCAGGGCTCTGGATTTTAGTGAACTAGTGGTTTTTCAGTATGTAGACTTTCTTGGTATAACCAGTGAATCAATATCTGAACAGATACCGTTGATCCCTAAATTCTCACAGGATCTAATCTGAAGGGCCTGTAGAGAGACTCTGCGACTATAAAAACTGGTTAGGTGCCAAACAGATCACAGAGTGGCATTTTTTTCCAGTATCTGCCAATAACAAGTTAATTGTAAAGATGACAACCTCTCTCCTACTTTGTTTATTTTCTCTAAGACTGGTGCCATGGTAGAGACCGGGGCATTTTTATAAATGACAGCCCCTGCCTCGAGGTTTCTTACTGTCCAGAACGTTGTAGATAATTCATAAGACTTGATGCTTTGTCTTGATATTTCTCTCCTTTCCTCCTCCTGCCTTTTTACACATTCTGTTGTTGCGGTGATGAGTTCTTTCCAGAGGAAAAACAAGAAATCCAGAAAAGGTAGAGTACTTCATGTCCCATCAGTTTTTCTTCTCCAGTTTGATATTTACCAGTCTCCAAGTTTATTTGAATTAAGATTCTGTTTTGCTAGCTGCCTCCTGGATTATAATTCTGGTCCCTATCTAAGGCCAGGATCACCTGACACCTGAAAAATAGCAGGTTCACCTAGAGAGCAAGAGAAGAGAGAGACTTTTCTCAGAAAAAAGGAAATCCAGACAACCAAAACTACAGAGAACAAGCCTGAGCCCCCAAGCAACCTGCCAAGAGAACCAGAGGAACCAAATGAGGAGCCTTACTGCAGTTTATTATTTGAAATGCTTTGTAGGAAGAGGGAGGTAGGAAAAATTATCACTTTGTTCATACCAAAAAAATGTTTCTGTCCTTTCTCAGGGAATGAGAGTAGCTGAGAGAGATACTGAATTTATTTCTGAATCTAGCACTTTTTAGTAGGTGGTTGCAGAGGTCCAGATCCTTAACGCGTTAAAGAAAGATGGTATAAAGTCCCAGACCTAAAATGAAAAAAGCCAGAGAGATGGCTCTTTCCCCACGTCTGCATTCTTCAGTACTCCCCAAAGACTGCAGTACATTCTTTCAGACAGTGCCCTCTCCTGGCTAACACATGTAAATTCTGCATCATTTAATTCAGTACTCTAATCCTGGAGCTTGTTTTTTAACACATTTGACGATGAAAGCCCTCAGAAACCTAATTTACTTCTATCTAAATTCCCAGATTCCACCCTTGTACAAACTAGTAATTAAGCTGAAAGGTTGAGAAATGATTCCTCTAGAAGTGACCTTAGCTTGGCAGGTGACATGGATCATGCTAATAGACATGTTGTACCTCACTCTGAGAAATAACCAGCCTGTTTATTACTTAAAGGTTGTCATCTCCAGCTTTTCTTCTGTGCACTTTTAAGCACAGCATGGTGTTTTCTCTCCAGTGTGACTCATGGGTAACCTTGACCGACCCAGAGGCTGGAGGAGCAAGTATACTGAGGGAGTCCTTAGAGCCAGGGGGCTTCATGCTCTGGCACTTTTTCAAATAATTAAGAGTAGTGTTTTCTGGAAAACTTGGAAGGTGCTCCTTCTTCTGTTTTCTGGGAGAGCACTAGGATGTAAGCTGTCTCAGATACTCGTAATTGTTTACTAGAAATTTTGGAATAGGGCTCTTGCCATTTCTCTTCCAGAAAGAGAGTTATAATATGTGGTGTCAAGAGGAAATTTGATGGTTCAGCTAACCAGTAAATCCTGTGGACAAACTTAACCCCTTCATTCCATAGCTAAAGAACAGTGAGTTCTGATGAAGGGTCTTTTCACTTCCTTTTTGGCTTTCCCTAACCCCAGATACCTCAAACCAGAGCCTGCTTTGGGCAGTGCTACCTGGCTTTCACTTGCCCTCAAACTGGAGACAAACATGGGTGGAATCTAGGATTTTGGAAACAAACAGTGCCATGTAGCTAAAAGCATTTTCCAGCTCAGTGATATCTAGATCTCAGACATACTCGAGCCTTTGAGATGAGACTGGCATGCCTTATGGTACGTTCCCTGGGCCCACTTTGCTTGGTTCTTTAGTCCAGGCTCAGCATCTTTGTACTGCCCTTTGCAGTGCTGAGATTTTACATTCCAGAACCATCTTATAGAAGCTTATAAACATAGCCAGAAATAAGTATATTTCTTCCGAGTTCCAAAGATTAGGCAGATATTCCACTTAAAGTTGTAAATTTGAGTTTACCCCTGCCTGCCTTTCTTGCCCCTCTAAAAGCTTAATGTGATAAACTGCAGTAAGCTTCATCCTCATACGTCTTTTCCCATCTCCGTTGATCCCTGTACCTTTCCTGGAAGGTTTCTCCAATGACTCAGGCACTGTTCTCTGCAGAGTTTGCTATCTGGGTTTATTTTTCTGATGTGAGCCTCTCTTTTCACTTGCTCTCCAGGTGAGCCTGGCATTTGCTAGGAACCAGAGTGGAACCGGCAAAATGGCCAGCAACAGAGTCCTGATCCAAATGGAGAAAGGGAACCAGGCGTACCTCAACCTGGAGTGGGAAACTTGATAGGAGGTCAGAAGTACTTCAGCTTTGGATTCTCGTTTTCCTTATTTAAGGAACTGAGCACCAGAAGGTAGAGACTGAGAAAGAGGAGAGAGAAAACATCAAATCTTCATGTGCCCTTCAGATTTCTCAGTTGTAGTTTTATTAGCAAGTTCTGGACAATGAAAAATAATAGTTGAATTAAGATTTATAAGCAATCGCAGCTTCATGACAGGTTGTTTCCTTGCATGATGCCATTCTTGGAATACCAAGAATATAGTAATTTAAAACAACAAAGAGGAAGTAAGGCTTATAGTTATTTTGGCCACCATTGATTTCTTCAGCTGATAACTGTTTCTTAGATTTTTTTTCATTTCTTTATGTTACTGACTTTCTCTTGAGTCTCATGGTTACTTACTTAAATTTCTTTTTCTTACTGTTTCTGTCATAGCTTTATGAAATTGTTTTTGTCATTGATTCTGGGCTTTCCCCTTTCACAACTCTCTTTCATTTTCAATTCTAATCTGGGACCCAAGGCTGAAGCATTTTTTAAAAAGACTAAAAAACTCAGTGAAAGTACAGTCCATGAGGAAAGGGAAGTTAGGTAATTAGAAGTACAAGCAGTTTTTAACAACATACTTACATGTCAAATACATTTGAAAGTTGCTTCTTCAACACTGGTAGGCACCTACAATCACTGGGAGAATTAACACACTCACTCACATACATATATACATATCACACACATACACACAAAGGTACAGAAAATTGTACAATATAGCTTGATGAATTTTTACAAGGTGAAAACACTGAAGTAATCAGCCACCCAGCATGTGTTGTCGTTTTAATGTTTTATTAACGTGTGAATACGGTAGTGCTCTCAGTGGCCCTCTGAGTATAGTTATTCGTCTGCTTCTCTCTCAATGGTGAAACTACTTTCTGATTTTGTTACCGAGCGAGAGAGCCCTGAATCTTCTTTGCATTCAGAGAGTACCTTTATTCTGTATTTCCTAGTAATAAACATAACTCTGGCACATTCTTGTTTTGCTGAGATGTCCTAATTTCCAGTTTTCTTTCATCTATGTTCAGGCTGTTACTCACTTATTCTTCATTTTCCTAACCATTAATTACCAGTCTTTTCTGTTTTTGCTGCTTCATTTTATTCACTTGAGTGGCTCCTGGAATTCCCTCTCATTTCCTCTGAGACCTTTGGTGCTAAACCTCATGAGACAGATAGCATCTTGAACGCTGGCTCCAGTTAGTATTCTGAGTAATTTCATCTCACTGATAACTCTTTAAAATATCCTTTATATGCCCAGGTTATTACTTTCTTTTTTTTTTTTTTGGCATCAAAATCTCACTGTAATACTTTTTTATCTTCGAGATAGGTGTGTATGTGTGCTGATCTTGCGTAGTCTTTCCAGATTACTTTTCTTCACAGCTTTCATTTCCTTGATTCATCTCTGCAGTATTTGATGACTGTTTATTGAACTCTGGAGCCCGCCTTCTGGTAGGACAGTTTGCTTTTTGCTTACATCATACGGCTCTGTTTTACCAACTAATTTTCTTAGTAGGCAAAAGAACTACATTTTAGGTGAACCGTCTTTTCTTTTTACTATCCACTAAATAATCTAGCATACAGCTGTTTGAAATTTCTTGTCCTAGGTATCAAAACTGTATGCATTTGGAAGATTCTTATAACCAGTGTTACAGGCATGTTTTGGAAAGGATTGACTGTGCTTTGTAGCACACTAGGAGGCTAGTAATCTAGTCCTTCTCTATCCGTGTAACATTCCTCAAATCATTAGTCAAATTGTTGAATCTTCTTTCTGACAGCTTCCTCATTCATAAACTAGAAAGGCCAGATATCTTACTTCTCTGAGTTGTTAATGAGGATCATCTAAGAGTATGTGGAATAATGCTTTCAGAATATAAAGTACTGTATAAATGGAAAGTTTTAATTAAAGGTTTGAGCATTGGTTTCAGTAGTAGTTACAGACATCATGTTTCGACTTCATGACATTCAGTGTTTTATCTACAAGTCTCCTACATTTCTGTTATAACAAAAAATTACCAGAAAAAAGAAATAAATGCCTTTTGACTCTGGTGCTCTTAGTTTGGACCTCCCTGCTGCTGTATCACTGCCCAGTGAGACTCCCAGACCACTTCATCTCACTCGCGTATGTTGCATTTGTAGGTTTCTTTGAACATCCCTTCTTTTAGAGTCTTCTGCTGTGAATTTGCTATATCGTTCATAGAGCTTTGGATTGTGCTAATCAGATTCTCTTCCTATTTCTTCTATCTTCCTACACCTCCAGTGAGTGATGATTTAGTTTTCCATATGACAGCTGCCTTTTAGTTGATCCAGAAGCTTAGAAGAGTAACAGCTGTATTGTTTGATGACTTTTTTATTGATCTAATTCAGAAGGCAAACCCTGAATTTTTTTTCTGCATATGTACTTCATTAAAGGATAAATAGGAGACAGAAAGGGGAAAGGAAGAAAAACAAAGTTCAGTTAAGAAGCCTTACCAAAATAGAAAAGTAAGAGTTCATTCTTGGGCTCAGTATTTTTCAGTATTAAGCTAAAGAGTCAAGTTACTGAAGAGATGTATAGAATTAGTAATATGCTGCATTTTTTTGTTGGCCTTAATTCCCTTCATATCTTTTGTTTACGAGTGCTGTGATGCTACATCAGCCTTTACTCAGTTTACCCTCTATTTTCCTAACTGTTAAGAATGCTCTTAACAAAATCTTACCACTGTACCTTGGTTTGGAGCTGTCTCATTGATTGGAAGCTCTTACGCTCGGAAGTTGCCATTTCTATCAGTTGTGTGCCTGTTAATGCCCTTTGGCCTGCTTATTATTTAAAATATCTTTTACCTTTTCACTGTGCCTTTATTTTATACACTTTACAGTAACACCCTCTCCCTATTTTGCTTTGCCCATCATATAAAAATTACTTAATTTTATTTTTTGTATTAGGTAATAGATGTGGTACAAACCCAAAAGGTACGTAAGGCTTTACAGGGAAAAGTGTCTTTACCATCTTTGTTGCCTAGCCATACAGACCCTTCCATGGAGATAAATATTTACAATTAATATGTATATTCCTTTTTAAACCTTTTAGAAAATATAGTGATACCATAGTAACGTATACCGTTTTCATTCATATCTTGGGCAATCACTTTATGTCAGCACATGAGGCGTTCCCTCATTCTTCTTATGGTTGCACGTCAGCTCTATCTTGATTTGAAATTTCAGACACCCTGAGCATTCCTCTAGGCTGAGGTATTTCTTCTGGGAATTCTTTTGAAATTAATGTATACTATTCAGCTGATAGGTTATATGCTAAAAATTTCTTTTCTTCATGTGTGGAAAATTTTATTGTTATAAGTAAATAAGCTAATTCTAATGAAATAATGAAAAATTATTTTTATTTTTATAGTTTGAATCAGCTTGGGTACTGACAAATATTGCTTCAGGGAATTCTCTTCAGACCCGGATTGTGATTCAGGCAGGAGCTGTGCCCATCTTCATAGAGTTGCTCAGCTCGGAGTTTGAAGATGTCCAGGAGCAGGTAAAAAATGAAGTGAATAAAGAGAAGCAGATGAAAGAATAAAATTTCTTCCTTTGGTCTTGTATTTAGGGCCTGAGTTTCACCACTCAGCCATGACTATCCATGGTTCATCACAAGGAGTATTCTAGAAATCTAAACTTAAAGTAGTAAATTTCAGAGAGAAGCAGAATTTCTCCTAGACACATGTAACCATTTTTCTCCTTTCAATTCTGAAATTCTTTAATCCATACACCTTTTTAGACCATGTAAGCAGTTCATATAGGACTCTCTAGTGTTGATTGAAGTAGCATGTCTTTGCAACTTTTGTGCAGAAAAAGACATAGAAGACCTGAATTTCTTATTACTGCCAACTTTATCAAATTTATAAATATAAACCAATGCTAAATAAATGACTCTTTTTACAGCTTTATTGAGCTATGATCAACATACAGTAAACTGCATATATCTAAAGTATGCAGTTTGATAAGTTTTGAAATATATATACATCCATGAAACCATCATCACAATCAAGATAATATATCTCTTACTCTCAAAAGTTTGATAAGGTTATCTGCATCTTGATTCCTCTTGAATTCTTCATTAACTGTTTTCTCATGTAAGCAAACTTAAATGGCTGGGTAAGCCATTTGAAGTTGCTGCTATATACCAAGGGCTATATGGAATGTTACTTAGGAGTGGGAGATAACGAATATGTATAAGAACCAGTTCTTCCCTTTAATAATCTTACTACCATGAATGCTCACATTTCCTTCTGTTCATTGTATGCGTTAGAATATTAGTAGTCTTTCTTTCCGCAAATCCCACAAGTGTTTTATTTAACTACCTGATGAGCAAACTAGAGGTGTTAATAGTTAATGTCCATGTGTAATATGTTGATTAAGTGCTGTATAATTTTATAAAGAGTTATTTTGGTATGTTGGCATCTTTTTTTTTTTTTGAAGAATTGTGAAATAATTAAACTGTAAAACCGTCATTAATGAAAACTTCTTTCACAGGCAGTCTGGGCTCTTGGCAACATTGCTGGAGATAGTACCATGTGCAGGGACTATGTCTTAGACTGCAATATCCTTCCCCCTCTGTTGCAGTAAGTTTCTGTTTTTTGTTGTTGTTGTTTGTTTCTTTTTGGAGTAATAAAAATGAGAGGTTCCTCAGAAGGCAGTCATTTTGGGAAATCATTTTGGATTTCCGAGTGTTGTTGTCCATTCCAGATATTTTCTTGTTAACTTGTTTAGATCCCTTCTTCAAGTACCCTGTCTCATTCAAATGCCAAAATTCTGAATTAGTGGAGTTAGAAATTAATGAAGTTTTATTGTTCTGGGGAAAAACTATTTGAGGACATCTCTTTATTCATTGGAGCCCTGGTGGCACAGTGGTTAAGAGCTCAGCGGCTAACTAAAAGGTGAGCAGTTCGAATCCACCAGCTGCTCCTTGGAAACCCTGTGGGGCAGTTCTGCTGTGTCCTGTAGGGTCACTATGAGTCGGAGTTGACTCGATGGCAACAGGTTTGGTTTTCTTTATTCAGTAGCATCAAATGGTTTATTATTTTTCTCATGTGATGAGAGAATTAATGTTCATTATATAGCTTACAGTTGTACCATCGTGCTCGTAGGTTATTTTCAAAGCAAAACCGCCTAACCATGACCCGGAATGCAGTATGGGCTTTGTCTAACCTATGTAGAGGGAAAAGTCCACCTCCAGAATTTGTAAAGGTAAGGATTATGCTTGTGAGAAATTGACAGAAAGAGTACAACTAAAAGAGTGTACACCCAGTTTTAATGTGATCAGAAAGAAATAATGACTTTTGATAAAATTTAAAATGTAGGAATTTTATCTGTTTCTAGAGAAACTGAGCTTTTTGTTGTTATTTTTGTTTTAATTTGGCATAATTTTGCACTGTTTGTAGAAAGCCCTGCATTGATCTTAAAAGCTATCATTTTTAGATTCATAAATTATCTAAAATAAAGCATTTCCTGGCTTTAGCACTTGTGAAAGTTCCTTAACCTCTTTGGTCTACAGAGAATGTATTCTGAGAAGGAATCTCACTGTGGGAATTGGTGCATATGAAATTTTGCTTCCTGAGATCTGTTTGCATGGGCTCTGACTACCTCATCCGAGTAAACCGAGAGGTCACTGACAGCACTAGCCACTTGCTGTCCTGTCTCTAGAAGTGTAAATCACCCCATAAGCTACTAGGTGTATGCCTGATTGCCTTGTTCTCAAGTATCTCACCCTGCTTCTGGCTGTTATTCTATTGAATTTTCTTAAAACTTACCATTTTCCTTTTACAGGTGTCTCCCTGTCTGAATGTGCTTTCCTGGTTGCTGTTTGTCAGTGACACTGATGTACTGGCTGATGCCTGCTGGGCCCTCTCGTATCTGTCAGATGGGCCCAACGATAAAATTCAAGCAGTCATTGACGCAGGAGTGTGTAGGAGACTTGTGGAGCTGCTGATGTAAGATATCTTCAGGAAAGGCTGTCTGATCTTTAATCCCTGTATTAGTTTTCTAGTTGTGCTTTGGGCTGCTGTCTTTCATTATTTGTTTACTTGTTTTGATGTCCAAATCTTTCTTTTAAGATTTTTTTTTTTTTTTGAGGCTTATAAAGAACCTCGCTCTTCTCTGCTGTTAGCAGTCCTTCTGCAGAAATATTTGGAAAACTGATATAGGCAGTTCTGGCTCATACTGGATGACCATAGACCAACCACTGGACAACCAAAATCATATTGCCACTAAAAAACAGTCATTCCTTATCTGTCTCGTTGAATCTTACTTCCTTTTGATAGATCTCTTTGTGATACCTTTGATTATAAAGTAGATGGTTTTCTGTATTAATCAAATTTGTGGGTAGTAATAGAAGAAACAAAATAAAATTTAGGGTGATATACTGGAAAAATGGTGCAGTTACAAGCCACATGAAATATAATTGAAGTGTAAGTACACAGTAGATGCAAGGAGACCTTGCCCCAGACATGACATGTGGAATGGATTATATAAGTATGAGGTACAGAATACAAAACTCTGGGATTATAGCTGGCCACAGACTGCAGCTCAGCAGTTTAGTGCTGTTAATGAGTAAATGCAGTGTGATGCTGCAGGAGCTAGAAGTACAGCATGCAAACTCTGGGAAGTAATCCTTTGTACTCTTTAGTCACTAGATTATTATATATTTTAAGCATCATCAGATCTTAACATAAATGTGAAGGAACTGACATAGTTTTTTCAGAAGTGATCAATCTCATTAAAAGGGAGAGAAAATAGGACCTATAAGGAAAGTTAAAGCATATTGGCTTACTTAACCTGAAATATCAAGACTTAATATCTGTCTTCAAGTATGTAAAGGGCCTTGTGGAAGGTTTTGCTTTTTGACCAGTAAGACAAATGAGGTTTAGTAGACAGAGTTCGTTATTTGAATCCTGAAACCTGGCCTTCATTTTCAAGTTAGGTCAACTGTTGACATATTTTCACTTTTGTGAAAATTAGACAATATGTAGAACTTAAAAATGTTGTATGAATGTTAACAATTGCTCTCTATTATCTCAGCAACCATAGAGGACCAAGTATAGAGGAAATGAAACCTATATTAAAGATTGGGGAGAGCTTGAAATCCAGGTGATGAGATATCTGGAAAAGATGACTAGGAATGATTTGTATTTTTAAATCCAAAAATATTAAGTAAGAGGAAAGACAGCTCTTCAAGGGGGCACCAAACATTGCATCAGAATGATAGGGTGCCCATAATAGCCACCATGGGGGTACTTTTCCACTCTGCAATCCTATCACATATTAATTTCTTTTGGATTTCAGTTTTAAAGAAAAGAGGCTAAGGATAGAACTGTTAGAAATAACATTTCTTTTTCTTGTTGCAGGCATAATGATTATAAAGTGGTCTCCCCTGCTTTGCGAGCTGTGGGAAACATTGTTACAGGGGATGATATTCAGACACAGGTATGAATAAATGTTATTTTTTCCTTCAAAACAGTACATTGAGCCCCCTGATCATGGTTCTGTTATATTTAACTACATATTACTAAGGGGAGTTGGCATGTATCCTTTGTTTTGTTATTGTTTGTTAAAAGTGGTGGCTTATATGACTGCTCCCTGTATGTACCTTCAGTATCTGACTTGACCTGTTGCTTGTAGCGATTTTGGGTTACCTGTGACATGACATTTTCTTTGGGGCAGGCAGGTTTTTGTTTCCCACTATTTCTTTTCTTTTTTTTTAAACATTTTGTTGTGTTTTTGGTGAAAGTTTACACAGCAAATTAGGTTCCCATTTAACAATTCTATACATATTGTTCAGTGACCTTGGTTACATTTCCTGCATTGTGTCAACATTCTCATTATTTCTGTTCTGGTTGTTCCATTTCCATTTATCTGGCTTCCCTTCTCCTCCTCCGCCCCTTCTCATTTTTGTTTTTAGGGTAAATGTTGACCATTTGGTCTCATATACCAGAAGAAAACAAACGCGTTGCCATCGAGTTGATTCCGACTCATAGCAACTCTATAGGACAGAGTAGAACTGCCCCATACGGTTTCTAAGGAGCGGCTGGTGAATTCAAACTGCCGACCTGCTGGTTAGCAGCCAAGCCCTTAGCTTCTGCGCCACCAGGGCTCCTGATCTCATATAGATGGTTTTTTTTTTTTTTTAAAAAAAAAATAAAAAAGGAGCCACAGTGCTTACAAGTGATATTGTTTATTTTATGAGCCAATCTGTTATTTAGCTGAAAGGTGACCTCCAGGAATGGTTTCAGTTCAAAGTTTAAAGGGTATTTCAGGGCAGTAGTCTCAGGGGATAGTTTATTCCACTACTTCTTATATTTGAAATGGTTCTCTGTGAGTATCAGAACTTCCAGTAGCATCTTTTCTCTGTCATCTTCATCTCATCCTTTGTGATAGTGTCCTCCCTTCTGTACGTACGTAGGTCTTTTGGAGCCCTGGTGCCACGGTAGTTAAGCGTTTGGCTGCTGTCCAAAAGTCAGCAGTTCAAATCCACCAGCTGCTTCTTGGAAACCCTATGCGGGCACTTCTGCTCGGTCCTGTAGGGTTACTATGAGTCGGAATCGACTCCACGGCAGTGGGTTTGGGTTTTTTTTTTGGGTAGATCTGTACCAAGATACACCACTCACAGTGGATTGTTCTAGCCATTTTTCTTCTTGATCTCTCAGATGCATTGACGACTTTTGTAAATCATCTTCCTAGGCTTCTGTGATGTGGAAGTGGTTTGGTTCTCCTGCCTTGCTGACCGTTTGTTTCTCCTTCACACTCTTTCCTGTTTTCCTCCTGATCGTGGGCAACCTCCAGGGTCAGTCCTTCAGCCTCATTCATAGATTTTACAACTTCGAACATCACCGTTGTGCGCATGGATTGAGAATTGGGAATTAGATTTTAGCCTTAGCTCTTAACCAGCTCTGACTTTGACCAAGACATTTAATGTCTTCACTTTTCTCATCTTTTAAATTAAAGAAATTGAATTTATTCTCTAAAGACTCTCCCAACCCTGATATTTACTTTATCATGTCTTCAAAAGAATTTATTATTTCCCCCCGTATATCTAGGCCTCTGCTTATGTCCCTGATCTCAGTGAACGGCAGCAACAGAAATCTGGACATCAGATTGATCCTTCCCTCTCCTCTACCTGTCTTAGATCAGTCACTAAGTTCTGTTATTCCATCTCTAATCTATCCTTGCCACTGCTTAGTTTAGACATTTCTTATACCCTCCTCACATCAACAGAATGATGAAGAATGCAAATTTGATTGCGTCATGTTCATTGTCTTTGAAGGATCCCTGGTTGTCTGGTGGTTAAGCACTCAGCTGCTAACTAATAACTGACAGGTCAGCAGTTCAAACCCACCAGCCGCTCTACGGGAGAAAGATATGGCAGTCTGCTTCCATAAAGATTTCACCCTAGGAAACCCTGTGAGGCAGTTCTGCTCTGTCCTATAGGGTCGTTACGAGTCAATCCACTCGACAGCAGTGGGTTTGGTTTTTGGTTTTTATTGTCTTTGAATACTTTTAAAGATCCATTAAAATCTGGTGCCTATACAGTGGTAATGCTGTACAACAGAATGAAGAAGCTCTTATGTACTGATGTGAAAAGATCCTAGGTTATATTGTTCAAAAAGAAAAAAAAGGGGAGCAGAGTTGTGTGTCAAGTGTTACCATTTATGTAATAAGGAGACGGGGAGGAGAGGAGAAGAAAACAATACATATGATTATATCTGTACAGAACTTCTCTGGAAGGATGATGCACAGGAATCCAATAACATTGGTTGTCTCTGATGGAGAACTGGGTAGCTGGGGTACAGGAGTGGGAAAGAATCTTTTAACTCTATACCAAAAACCAAACTCATTGCTGTCAAGTCAATTCCAACTCATAGCAACCCTATAGGACAGAGTACAACTGCCCCACAGGGTTTCCAAGGAGTAGCTGGTGGATTCAAACTGCTGACCTTTTGGTTAGCAGCCGAGCTCTTAACCACTGTGCCACTAGGGCTCTTTTAACTATATAGCCATTTATAATTTCTGGATTTTTGAACCAAAAAAGTGTATTTGTGATTCAAAACCACAAAACAAAAAACTTCTCTACCCCATCCTCTATGCTCTTGCCATCTTTATTCTTTGAATTAGCTGTGTCCACTCTCAGCTCTGAGCTTCAGCACATGCTTTTTTCTTTCTGCCTGAAATAATATGCCTCCATTCTCCATCCCTGCTCTGACCACCACCTTAAACATCCACTCTTTCCCACTAATGTCTTCTCATTCTTCAGGTCTTGGTGTTAATGTCATTTTTGTTTGACCCGAGACTCTAAAGTTAGGGGTTCCTTCTTTTGTTTTATCTATCATAACACTTACCACTGTATTGTAACTGTCTAATTACTTGATTGTGGAGCCCTGGTGACACAGTGGTTAAGAACTTGGCTGCTAACCAAAAAGTTGGCAGTTTGAATCCACCAGCTGCTCCTTGGAGCCCCTATGAGGCAGTTCTTCTCTGTCCTACAGGGTTACTGTGAGTTGGAATCGACTTGAAGGCAGTGGGTTTGGTTGGGTTTAATTACTTGATTGTAAGCTTCTAGAGGGGAACTGTGTTGTTCTTGTTAATTACTGAGCCTCTATAAATTAGTTCCTGGCACAGTGTATCAGGGCTCAGAAAATATTTATTTATTGAATGAATGAAGTTCTAAATCTATATACCTCTAGCTCTGACCTCTCTCTCTGTTTCCAGGAATCTGTTAGGTACTTCTCCTTGCATGTCTCACATCAGTCTCCCTTACAGTTTATTTTCTTCCTCCAAAAGCAGATTCCAAGTCTTGATTTTTCCTGTTTCTATTAATGATGTAACTGTTCATCTGTTGACCCTCACTTGAAACTTTGTAGTCGTATTTGGTATCTCCTCCTCTCACACTTCCAATAGCAAGTCACCAGGCTTTGTTGATTCTTTTTTTTTTTTAAATAATATGTATTGGGTTTTTGGTGAAAGTTTACACAGCAAGTTATGTTCCCATTTGACAGTCTCCACACAAATTGTTCAGTGTCATTAGTTACATTTATCACAATGTGTCAATACTCTCATTGTGTTCAGCTTGTTGCCTTTCCAGTACTCTATTTACCCTGCCTTGTTATCTTCTCATCTTTGTTTTTGAGTAATTGTTGACCATTTGGTCTCATACTGATGGTTTTTAAGTAGAGCACCGATCTTATGGGTAATATCCTTTATTTTGTATGCCACTCTGCTATTTCGCTAAAAGGTGGTTTCGGGATACGTTCGGTTCTAGGTTTAAAGAATGTCTCAGGGGAATAGACTTGTTTCTTCTCTGAGCTTTTGGTTACCTTCTTACTCTTCCGCTCCTGGCGAGTAGAGACCCATAGTTGTGTTAAGACAAGCTGGTAAGGTCTTGTTGATTCTGTTACTAGATCCCACATCTAATATACCTTATTTTGATTCCTCTTTTCTCACACACAAAGATTGTTGCTGTACTCAACTAATTTGTCTTCCTACAGGGTAGAAATATTATTCCTATTCTTCCCAAGCAGTTTAACCCTCTCAGTTTATTCTCCCTAATATTAATCTTTCCTAAAATAACCTTGTTCACATTATTTTTCTTCTTTCTACCATATTATTAAGCTTTGGGTATAGAACCCTTCCTTATAGCCTCATTTGTCCATTCTTGTCTTACTTTGTGGTAACCTATCTCAGCATCTTCTCATTTTCAGCTTTTCTGTTTGCAGTGCCCTTCCTTTTCTTTGCTTAGGAAATCCTGTGTTTCAAGGCCCTGCATTGAAGTCGTCTTTCCTGACTACCTCTCCCTAAGTATTCTCTTTAACTTCTGATATATTAATTTTCTAGACTACTTATTTGGCTCTTTTTTTTTTATTATTGCTTTGCGATTATACTGTTGCTTATCTTCTTTTGAAGGTTTATTTTTTCCCATGGTTATAAACAGTACATTTATATTATAGGAGATTTAGCAAATGCAGAAAAATGCGAAGAATGTAAAAGTCTCCTATAACTCCACTACCTAAAGATACACTCAGTATTAACAATTTACTACATTTCCTTGTAGTCTTTTTACTGTCCACATGTATATTTTTTTCTAACATAAAGATATTATAGTCTTTAGGAGCCCTGGTGGTATAGTGGTTAAGAGCTCAGCTGCTAACCAAAAGGTCGGCAGTTTGAGTCCACTGGCTGTTTCTTGGAAACCCTATGGGGCGGTTCTGCTCTGTCCTGTAGGGTCGCTGTGAGTCGGAACTGACTCCATGACACCTAAAAACAACAACAACATACAGTTCTGTGTGTTGCTCTTTTCATAGTGTTCATTTAATGTTCTGTTGTGAGTTTTATGATTTCCTCTGGTTAGATATCCTAGGAGTAATTATTTGTATCAAATTATGTGGATTTTTTAAAAACCTCTTGATATATATAACCAAGTTGTTTTTAAAAAGATTGTGCATATTTAACTGCAAGTTTTATTATTTTTTGATCTGTTTTAATTTAATAAGCAAAAATGACTTCATTTCAATTTATATTTACTTATAAAGTAATTTTCTATTAAAATATTAGTTTCTCTTATGAATTTACATGTTAAGGATAGCAACTCTTATTTGCAAACATTGTATGGTATTCATTTTAATTTTGTTATGATTTTTGACATGTAAAAACTTGTATTTGGTTACATTTTTATTTTCCCACTATGATTTCTTTCATTGTCTTTATGCTTGGTAAGTCCTTCACCATTTTTAGATCAGCTGTTTAGTTACATTGTCTTCTGCTTTACGGTTTCTTTTTAAATATTTACTCTTCATATTGGTTGCAGATTTATTTTGGTGACTGTTTAAGACTTGATTTTCAAAACTGATTTTCAACGAGACAACCCCTTATTCTTGTACCTTCTGTTAAATAAAACCACCAGTCATTGGAGGAAGAAAGGATTAACTTTAATCAAATACTTAATTGTTTATAGATGCCTACATGTGTTTCTGGGCTAGATATCTATTCTTTTGTGCAGTGATGACTCTTGAGCCCACCATAGACTGTTCATCATTGTAACTTTGTGGTTGTATTTTCTGGTAGAGTAGGTCTCCTTTGTGTGTATTTGTCTTCTCTCTCACCTTTGTAAACTGGGGGCATATCCTTTTCATCTTTGTATCCTACAGAGCACCTGGTGTACTTCATTAACCACATCAAAAGTGCTTATTAAGTGTGTGTTGGTTCATTGACTACGAGGTATAGAGTTCTCAGTTGACTTAGAAATCTCAGACCACTTTTGATTTTCTGGCCACTTGATATATTTATCCATCCAAAAGACATTTTAATGCTGTAGGGATAGAAGGGTGAATGAGTAATTCTGTTCTAATTACTAATGCTAACATTCTTTATTGTGCCTTATTAAGTACAGTTTTAGCAGTTGTGAGTACAGTGAAACTGGTTTGATCATCTTAGAACTTTATTCTTCATAGCAGTGAATCTTTTTATCAATTTGTAAAGGTTTTGTTTCTAACACTTCAAGTGGATGCGTTATTTCTTTGCTTAAATTTTTCCTAAAATAAGTTTTCTGAATTAAAGGTTTACTTATATTTGAATCATTATAATAAGTAAAATTTTCAAACTTTTCCTTTTAGGTAATTTTGAATTGCTCAGCTCTGCAAAGTTTATTGCATTTGCTGAGTAGCCCAAAGGAATCTATCAAAAAGGAAGCATGTTGGACAATATCTAATATCACAGCTGGAAATAGGGCACAGATCCAGGTAATCCTTAGCCCTTGTCTTTTTTCTATATTTTTATTGGTAAATAGTTTTTTTCAGTCTTTAAAATATTAAAAAAAAATTTTTTTTTATGATTTAAAAAAAGTCTTCTAAAACATTTTTTTCACTATTGCTTTGAAGACTCCTACTTTCCAACATTGTTGTCCAACATTGTTGTCTTATTTCATAGTCTATTTCCTAACTTTTTTTATCCTAACTTATAGATGTTAAGTCTTTTGAAACTTTTACACGTAGGCCTTGGTTTTCCCCTTTGTCTCTAATATTTGATTATTTGCCAAGATCCAAGAAATACTATCTTTTATTTTCGAAGTAAAGTAGAGGGGCAGTGAAAAAGAGGAAGACCCTCAATAAGATGGACTGACACAGTGGCTGCAACAGTGGGCTCAAACATAGCAGTGATTGTGAGGATGGCACAGGACCCAGCAGTGTTTCGTTCTGTTGTACACAGGGTCGCTATGAGTCGGAACCAACTCGACAGCACCTAACAACAGCAACATTTTCAAAGTGTTTTGCTGGACTTTGTATTAAACAGATTGGCTTTGTTCTTGCCAAATAAAATATTTATTTTCCAGTGGACCTGTGTTTTAGATTGCTTCAGTTTTTCATAAATCTTTGGGGCCCCATTTTTCTTAAAATTGTTATCTGCTCTTTTGTCCTTTAATCATTAGGAGAGTAACTCAGGTAGGTCAAAAAGTTCAGATCATGATCCATGCGGGAACAATGGGTTAGAAAAGATACCAAAAACGTAGAATCATTGGACTTTGAGCTGAGTGGAATCACAGAGGTCATCTAATCCATCATTCTCATTTAAAGATGAAACTGAGGCTCAGAAAAAATGATTTGCTCAGAGCCACTTCTAGTAAATGACAGGACCAGGATTAGGTGTCTTTCCACTAAACTTTGCTGTCTTTCTTCATTGGTGTAATGAAGGTTCTTGTCCAGGAAAGCATGCTTAGTCATTGAATGTTGAGTAGGGATTGAAATTGGTGGCTGCAGCAGTTTACAGCATGCATAGGAGGTGATTTCAGCTGCACTTGATTGGCTCACCACACCAGGTTCTTCTCAGTTTCTTCATACAGGAAATGATAAGTTTTAGGTTCTTGAGCCAAGGTGAAACGTGAAGGTGATTTTGGGAAAACTACTTTGTTGTTTGTATGTGGGAGGGATTGAGTAAAAATACTCTTTCCAACTAGAATGCTGTTCGGGTGATGTAGTTGAGAGGTGGTGGCTTGGAATAGGATTGCAGCAGTGGTAAAGTCAAAGATGGATTCAGGGCATTTTAAATTGAGAATGAAAAGGGGACGTGGTGACTCACTGAATTTAGAGTAAGTAAACTAAAAGCAGACTGGATATAGAAGGCAGAAGATATGTCTGAGGTGACTAGCAGACCTGAAACAACCTGCTGGCCACCTGGGCTGGCGCTCCAGTGAGAAATGAGGACATGCAAGAGTGGATGCTGTGAGGAAGTGAGACTAACAGAGGAACAGACAGCTGAAATACCACAATTTCTTACTGTGGGTGGAACAAGAGAGGACAATAAAAGAGAAAGAAGACAAGGAGACAACTGGGAAATTACAAAGTCACAGACTCTAGGGAGGATGACACAAAGTAGAGCAAAAAGGTTAGGGATATAATGAGAACTCCTTTCATTTTTTTTTTTTAGAACGAGGAAGGATGTCATTACAGTTATAGTTAGTATCACTAACATTTTTACAAATCTTGTAATTTCCCTTTCCATTTAAATTTTTCTTTAATTTTAGACTGTGATAGATGCCAACATTTTTCCAGCCCTCATTAGTATATTACAGACTGCTGAGTTTCGGACAAGGAAAGAAGCAGCTTGGGCCATCACAAATGCAACTTCTGGAGGATCAGCTGAACAAATCAAGTAAGTACTAGCCAAGTGTACTAGCCAGGTAGTGTCCTCACTACCTACACCTTACAAGTGCCCCCCCCCCCCCAAGTAATACCTAGAGTGAAAGATTTGAGGATAAGATGAGTGAGAGAGGATCTTATTAAATAAGAATGTTCAGTTCCAGCCCTCTGGAAGATTTTTCTCAGTTTGATAATTTGACTCCAATGTATATTTAATTCCTTATACCTCTCCCATTCCTTCTTGTTGAAAATGATTCTGGGATGTCAGTAGTAAGGCATCATTGAGGTTTGAGGCAACAGAAATACTTACAGGGTGGCTCCAGCCTACTCCGGAGATTCTTGGTCAGAAACATCTGGGAAGTCTAGGTTACTTATAGAATCCTTAGATTCCAGCTCTAATAGCTAACTCCTACTATATCTAGTTTCAATGTCTTGGTAATAGAGTCGGACCAGACTTAAAAAAGAGAAGTGTGTCTTAGGATGCAGTACCAAATTCTGTATAGGCAAGTGCCTCTGAAAGTACCATAGTATTCAGTAAAGGGAGAGGTATGTATTGGCTGGAGACTTAGTAGGCCCCCTTGCCACCAGCTAGAGAAGCCATAAATAGACAGGAATCAGTTCCCCAAAGGAACATCATCATATAATTAAGTGCTAAATTCTGGACGTTCAGTATTTCATATAGAAAAATAGACTAATAATGAAGAGAAAAATGGAACTCTTAATCTGCCTTAACCTTCCTTATGGGGAAGATTGTTTTAAATTAGCGTTAAATCATTAATTACTTCCTACTATGTAATATCAGAGAAACATAGCTATTTCTCATGTTGTTGCTTTGTGGAGTAAATGAAAAAAAAAAAGATACAGATTATAGGTAAAGTGCCTGACATAGGCACTCAGTAAGTGCCAATTTTTAGTGCTTTGTTTCGAATTCAAAAAAAAAAAAAAAAAGGTAAAGAAGTCCTAACATATCGTAGCAAATTGATCAGGTATGGAAGATAAAGAAATATGTGCCTGACATAAATAAAATTGCAAACAGATTAACATATGCAGTAGTTCAGTAAAGTTCATCATGGACAGGTTATTCAAAGGATAGTTCAAGAGGTCTTCAGATTAGGTCTTTTTCAACTTCCCAAGATTTTGATTCTGGGGTCCTGTGATTCTCAGTATGATACCACTGGATGGCAGTGGTATGGAGTAATAACGAATAGTTTATTTTCAAGCTCTATGTTCAAACTTAGATATGTGCCATTTTATACCAAATATGTTTTAATTGAAATAAACTGTATACATACCTTTTGTTTTGAAATTTCATCTTCTTAAAATTTCAAAAACATTTCTAAAATACTATGATGTCTCTCATCAGAAAGTATTCAGAAGTATTTTGCTCTGTTGGAGAAGAGTAGAAAGGCTGCTTTTTAAAATTTACTCTTTTTAAAATTCAGCATAGCTGTTTATAATAATGAAGTTAATTATCAAACTCCAAGAGCAGTTTCTTCTTAACTTTCTTAAAGGCACTCCTAAGTATAAAATTACCTACAAGATTGGCTCTTTCTAGTTTGAGACATTAACATAATTTTAGAAAAGTTACTGAGTCACTTTTCAGATCATTCTTACAGACTAAACTTCCTTACCCAAAAACCTTACTGGCCGTGTCTTCTGCCAGATTGGTCAGTCAGCTAGACTTGATGACCAGCATTGAGGCAACTCCATTTTTCTGAGGGATAGTTTTTGGGATATTCAGACATTTGTAGTTAAATTTACTTTTAAGCTTTCCACACACAAAAAACAATTTGACCTTTAGCTAATACTTTTTTGGTAGCACAAATAGACAAAGTTCCTATTTTCAGGACAATTTTTGATAGTAGTCTGTTCCAGCAGACACTTGATATCAGCAGTGAACTACCTGTTAGGTTGTATGTAGCCCAGAGGATTCACGGGAACAATTACTAAACAGAAAGATGAAATCACACTTTCAGTCTGATTTATTGAAGTTACATTTTTTATAATGAGACTGGCAGTGTTTAGATGATGGTGTAAAGAGAGCAGATTTGTGACATATTGAATGTTTATAATAGATTTAAGAGTTGTAAACTCCAAGTCTAGGAGCCCTTGTGGCACAGTCATTATAGTACTCGGCTGCTAACTGAAAGATGGGCAGTTCGGACCCACCAGCCTCTCCTCGGGAGAAAAGTGTGGCAGTCTGTTTCTGTTCAGGTTACAGTCTTGGAAACCTGTGGGGCAGTTCTGCTCTCTACTGTAGGGCCACTATGAGTCAGAATTGACTTGATGGCAATGGGTTTGGTTAGTTTTTTTAAACTCAGTGTACTCTTGTTGAAGTCACAACAAGCTTCCTGCTAGTTCAGCGGGTATGAAAACTAAACTTATTTGTCCCTACTGACTGCATTCAGACTTCTTTTGGGAGGAAGGGGAGTTAATACTGAATCTGCATTTTAGTTTATGAAAACTCCTTTTGTGAGGTTGATGTTTCAAATATCCTTTAAAAAACAAGTTTAATTAAACATATAGTAGTTGCCTACTATGCCTTATTTTAAAAGGCAGTTATAGTTAAAAAAAAAAAAAATTCCTGTCACCTTTGTAGCATGTTGGGGAAGTTTATTTTGAAAACTGGTAAATAAAGGGAAAGAATCAAGATTTATCATGCTCTTTTTATATGTAAGCTCTATGTAGGGGGTAATCAAATAATTGATGAGGTAGAGTTTTTCTTTTTATGAGTATTTCAGATAATCAGCTAAGAAATATTAAGATTAGAATATTCCCATTTTGCAGCTCCAAGGAAGTAAGGGAATACTGTTGAGCACCTTCACCCATGAAGCAGTCTTTCCAAAAAAAGACTTGAATCTGATCAAGTCTCTGAATTTATCTGCCAACTTAAGGAAATATAAGGGACAGAGACATTTGTTAAATGACACCATTCAAAATCCAAACTGTAGGAAACTATAGGATAAAACCAGTTTCTTGTACACATAAATTGTAAAACAAAATTAAAAGAAAAGAGATCATATGAAGGAGAGATTAAGAGATGGGGGAGGAGATTTATAGATTAAGTAAATTAACAGATAGATCAACAAGTATAACTTGTGGACCTCATTTGAGTCCTGATTCAAACAAGCAAAGTATTAATTTTTTAAAAAAGAAAGTCAAGGAAATTTGACTACTGACTGGATGTTTATATTATGGAATAATTGTTCATAGTTTTAGGCATGGTAATGATAGTGTTCCTAGGTGAGGCGCGTGTGTGTGTGTTTTAGAAGAATCCTTACCCTTTAGAGATAAGGTGTCTGGAATTTACTTCAGAATAATCCTGGAGTGAGGAGAGTGTGTAGTGGTACAAATCAAACAAGATTGGCTGCAAGTTGATAATCACAGCAACTGAATTTGTTTTCTCTACTTTTTAATTTTGTGTACTTTTGAAATTTTCCACAATAAAAAAGTAAACACCAAGATGAAAATCAAAAAATGTACTATTTTGATGAGTGACTTATATTCAAAGTAGAAGAGTATTCTAGTTTCTTGGAGTCCAAAAATTGTGGAGGGGAAGAGGAATGGAAATGGTGCCAGAGAACTGGTTTCTGTGATAAGTTTGAAGATAACCTCTCTACTAATTTCATAAATGTTTTAAAAAATTAAAGCTTTGACTAAATTCTTCTTTGTATTAATTTAGGTACCTTGTAGAACTGGGTTGTATCAAGCCGCTCTGTGATCTCCTCACAGTCATGGACTCTAAGATTGTACAGGTTGCCCTAAATGGCTTGGAAAATATCCTGAGGCTTGGAGAACAAGAAGCCAAAAGGAATGGCACTGGCATAAACCCTTACTGTGCTTTGATTGAAGAAGCTTATGGTAAGATAGTGTGTTTACCATATTTTTATGCAAATAATGGTGCTTGTTAAACTTTTTTTTGGGGGAGCAGCAACCGTGCCCCCACCCCCCGTATTATCATAAGTGCCATGCTAATTTTTTTTACATGTTGCTGTAAAAATTAGCATATCACACTTACAAGAATTGGGGAGTGTGGCAGGCATGATTGCCCTCCCCGCCCCCAAAGTTTAACACACACTGTTATTTGTGTAAAAATATGGTAATAGGTTTTCCGGAAATTTTTGTTTTCTGTTTGCTTTTCTGACCTTTCCACATCTGAATTAGCATACTCATACAAAAAGTTTTCTTATGAATGAGAATGTTTAGAAATTATAATTGGGGAGAAAAAATGCATTTTATGTGTGAAGAGAAGCCAGTACCCTTCAGTTTAGCTATTTTTAGACTGAACTCTGAGGATCTTCCCAGCTCCCTGGCACTACTTGCCCTTGTGGCCACTCTTGCATTCTTACCAGTCTTCGTTAGTCCCAAGAACTTCTGTATCTACCTTATGCCTGACTCTACTCGTTTTCTCTCGTAGCATTTGGAGTTCTGATCTTGAACTTCATCTTCCGGTTCCTGTGTGTCCTGACTCTTAAGAGTTGCATCTTGAAGAGTCACCATCTCTATTTTCAGCCCGATTGTAATCTCAGTCTGTTGCACTCTTAACCATTGGTTCACTAATGCATTAACCTTTTAAAAAAAGTTCCCTCAGTGATTTTAATATGTAGCTGGATTGAAAACCACTGCACTAGAGTTTATTTCCAAGATTGGAATTAAGGGCCACAGGATATGTTCATCTTCAAAATTTACTAGATAATGTAGACATGTTTTCAAAATGGTTGACAGTTTACTGTTTTTAAAAAACCTTATTATAAAAGGTACGCTTGCTTAGTGTAAGAAATTTTGAAAAGTATATTTAAAAACTGTTACTCTACAACTCGAGATCTTTCTCCACAGAGGTAAACCATATTTGGATGTATATATTTTTTAACGTGGGTGTGTATTTGTTTTTTCCTCTGAGTATTCTTAAGATTTATTGCCGGTGTTAGGTACTTCTAGCTGCAGCTGAAAGAAAGCCTAGCTCAGATGGACTTAAACTTACTAGTAAAGGGGATGTACTGGTTAATTGTTCTAGTTGGACTTCTCAGTTTAAGTGATAGAAGTTGATTCTGATTTAAGGAAATATAATACATTTGTTGAAATGATACTGAATAGCTCAGAGGCTAGGTAGATGGAACCAGAGCCAAGAATTAGGCTACAGATACCAGATACAGATACTGCTGGCTCTGGGCACCGGGTGGTATGTAGCTGTTGTAGAAACTGCTGCTTCTGGGGACTGGATGTTGCTGCTTGCATATGTATTTAAGATGTCAGTTTGTAGTACTAGTCTTCAGATGCAATCCCAGCAGTAATTTCTGTGTTATTACAAAACACTTATGTGATAAAAGTAGAGAGCCTTTCTTTACATCAAGGGAGGAGACATACGGCAAAATCTTGTCTCATTGGAATTTCCAACAGGTTTATAACAGATTTATCCCTTATTTTTCATTCTAGGTCTAGATAAAATTGAGTTCTTACAGAGTCATGAAAACCAGGAGATCTACCAGAAAGCCTTTGATCTCATTGAGCATTACTTTGGGACCGAAGATGAGGACAGCAGCATTGCACCCCAGGTTGACCTTAGCCAGCAGCAGTACATCTTCCAGCAGTGTGAGGCTCCTATGGAAGGTTTCCAGCTTTGAAGCAATACTCTGCTTTCATGTTCCTGTGTCAGACCAGGCTACCCAGTCAAGTTCTCTTGTGGAGCCCACAATCCTCATGGAGCTAACTTCTCAAATGTTTTCCATAATACTGTTTGCGCTCATTTGCTTGCCTTGCGCACCTGCTCTCTTACACACATCTGGAAAACCTCTGGCTCTCTGTGGTGGAATACCCTTCTAATAAGAGGGTAACCAGGACGGCCCACTCTCTTATGGAAAATCCCTAGGCTTTGGAGATCTGCATTTATACATTTTAAGAGTCATGGGATTATACACTTACATTAATGTGGCTCCCTTTTTTGTGGGGGAAAAGAGAGGACTCCTCATTCCCTTCAATGTGGGAAAAAAAATACTGACAATAAAAGATAAGCCTAAACCTTTATCTTGAATTTCACACAACTGCTTGCAACAAGGGAGATGTTTAGACCTGTTGTGTGTACTTCAGAGTATTTTTCATGAGTTCTTCCACAGTGAACCCTTGGATTACCCAGTGGCTTTTTCTGGCCAAATTTGCATTAATCCTTCCTAAGATGGGATGGTTTTCTTTCCTCTGTTGGCGCCATTCTTCACAGATACTAAAGCTAAACCATCCACTCCCTCACCTTCAGCCTAAAGTGAATGTGCTTTCTAGTTGTCAGGAATGCTGAAGCATTAACACTTTGACTCTTAAATGTGATACTGGTTTGCAGATTCCCCTAGAGCAGAAAAGAGAGGGGCACATATTAATTTGTATTGCTGTTGCTTCTCTTTGGTCTTATGTGTCTTAGGATTTGGAAGTGGTTCAATTCTAATGCTGGTATGAAGATTTTAGAATCCTTAGTAATCAAAAACTATATCCTGTAATTCAATTAAAAAGTTAAAAACAAACAAAAAACTCCAGTCTCTCCAAGCTCAGCCAGTGTGACTTGATGCTGTATTTCTGCATTAAAGCAAATATTTCAGGCTTTGTGGTCCTGATCAAGGTCCTCATTAAATTGGAGTTCACCCTAGGTGCTTTTTCCCTCTATGATGCGGGATAACACACACTTTAAAGGTTAATTTCTCAGCCGATTGCAGCTTGATTCTAATGTGTTCATGCTGCATCCATGACCCTTTTAATGTAGCGTCTCTATTGTAAACCAGTAACGATCTTCTCAGCGTGACCTCTTCACCCAAATAAGGAGTGATCTTTTTCTTATAACCTCATTGTCCCTAATCATTTTATTTCATTTCCTACTAGAATCGCCCCCTCCCCCTTAAATAAAATAATAACAGTCTCCACCTCTGGCTCATTTAATGATGACTGCAATCTGTACCTGCAAATGGCGCTTCCAGTACTGTGTTCAGTGATCCACATTTGTGCTTGGACTGGAATGAAAAATAAGCTTAATTGCCAAGAGAACTGCAAATGAGTTCAATACGACTTCTCGGTGCTAGTTGGCCATCTTGACTCAATATTGGGACACACCATCAGAGAAGATTTTTTGTTGATGGGCTGTTCAAAATGAATTCTGAAGGAAAAGTTGCTCACTTCCGCTTGAGAGCATACCCTTTAAACCTTTTTAGACTTGTCCTCCTCTAAAATTCATTATAACCCCAAAGTATAAACTGTTTGGAAGTTGCCCCTGACAAGCTATTACACATCTCTGGGAAATCCTGCTGAATGTTAGGGATATTCAAAGCTTTCATACCTCATCATGATGTTACTTAAGCAGCCAACTTATGTGACCTGATTTAAACTTTTAAAAAATTCACTTCATTCAAACTAGAAAGATTCAAAGACAGAGGACATTTATCTGCCAAGAGTGTGATGCATTCTTCACATCTAGTCTATAGCTGCGTCTGTGCTCTGGGATGGATTCCGTCTGATGTCTATTACTGATGGAGCAGCCACAGCAAAACTAGTCAACTCCCATCTATAACTGTTACTTTTTCTAGTGCTGCTTTGTGCTGAAAGAACATTTTAGTTACTGCACTTGACCTGTAAGAGACTTTGATTCTTTGTAATTTTAGGGATAAATTAGGTGGTTAATTTAAAGAAAAATTCAGTGTTGCCTTTACATCACATTAAAATATAACTTCTTTCAGAAAGGTAATAGAAGCACTGATTCATAGTAAAAATCTTGTTTTTAGCTTTGACTTTTTTTGTGGCTGAGTTTTTTTAGATTGTAAATTACTGATAACGCCATCTCTGTAGGGTGTTTTAAGTTACGTACCTTTTGTTGGATAGTTTACAAATTTTCTGTTTCTTTTATACACCAACTAGAATGGAAACAATACAGTGCACACAAAGTTGTCTCCCCAAGTTAGTAAGAGTAGTGTATGTTGAGAAGTTTTGTTAGCAAGTGCAGCTGCCTCAATGAGTGAATTAAAAGAAGTCCATTTAACTGATGTCTTATTTCCTGTCTAAACAGAGGGCTTTACCTTGCTGCTGTCCTAGGAGAACTTCATGAGCCATGAGATCTGAGCTAAAATTTTTTGCGTGATATGATTTTCCTTAAATATAAAAATTGGAATTTGCTGAAAAATCAAATTCCATCATAACTCAGATGTGTTGGAACTCATTGGTACTGATAAAACAGCCTTTTGGGTGATAAAAATGGCGTTTAAGAGGTAACTGTAAATCGTATTTTTAGTTTTCTGCCTAGCAGATTCTGTTTAGTTTCAATTTATTGAATACCCCCTATCACTAATTTCAAAACCAGGGAAAACTTTTGCTGAAGGAAAGTGGCTTCGTTTTTCCTTTTTTCCTCCTCTAAACATTCAAGGAGACCTGGTGGCTGAGTGGTTAAGAGCTATGGATGCTAACCAAAAGGCCAGCAGTTCAAATCCACCAGCCACTCCTTGGAAACCCTAGGAGACGGTTCTACTCTGTCCTGCAGGCTCGCTATGGGTCGGAATCGACTCCACAGCAGTGGGTTTGGCTTTTTGGTTTTCTTTTTGGAAACATTCAAAGTATATTCTTTATAATGAGAACTTCGGTGGAGAAAAAACATTGAAAGCATTTGGGAAGTATCTGAAGGACCAGCAGCTAGGTATGATTGAATTAAGAAATAACCAGGAAAATAAAGGTAATAGGTATGAAGAAAGGTGAGATTTAGGAGACAGATTTATCCATGGAACACTTTCATTCTTGTTCCTGTCTCCCAACTAATCAGGACCCTTTTTTACTTCTTCACTTAGTTTTATCGGTTGTGTTGCCTTTTAACCCTACTGCCCTAGGTGGTTTCTTCCTTATACCGATAAAGCTGCTTGGGCTCTGGGTCCTTTTCCTCGCATTATTGTCACAGAAATAAACATTGACAATTGTCCCATAATAAATCTGAGTTGTTTCAGGTTGCTACTGATTTTGACTAAGTAAAAATATGTAGTGTATTTTATAAACTGAACTTTGTCAACTAAATCCTCTATTGTACATGATCACCCACAGGCAACTTCTCTAGTGCTAAATAAACATTTCAGTTATTCACTACCCCAACTTGGGGTTGAATTACTAAAAGGTTTTCCTTGGGTCAAAGGAGTTCTTTCTTTCCTGCTGATTAGTTCTGTGAAACTTTTCATATCAATAGGCAAGTTGTTATAGCTGTTTTAAGGCTTGGGGCTTTTCTCATGTATATTTAAAATTGTGATGTCTAAGGGTAATGTTCAGTAAAGGGAGCTACTTTTAGAAAGGGGCATTGTTTGCTTTTCATATTTGTATACTATATGCTACCTCCTACATTCCAAAATTTGCTCATTGACAAAGATAGGTGTGCCTATATATGGGAGTCTCAAATCTGAATTATTTACCATCCTAAATTAATAGGGTCATTTCCTTCAGTTGTGAGGTGAGTAGATTAAATATTTTGGTCTGCCTTTTTCTATCATCAAAAATTAAACTGAAGGTACTACTACTGTAAATCTGTTGTAACAGAATATTTTGTAATACTTTATTGTGAGAGAAGGATAGGTTTTAAGAAGTATCAAGACATCAGAAGAACGTGTGATAAAGTAAAACCTCATATGCTAATTGCTGCTTGACAAAATACATCTGGAAGTTTTGAGTAAGAAAAAAGGACTAGGGTAGATGAGGTACCATTTTGTTTTCAACTAAGCGTAGACAGAATAGCCCCAGTCTGTTTTTGTGTAGGTAATAAAGTCAGCTTGTTTTTATTTGGACATCTGCTGTATGCCCATTGCCTGGCTAAGTAAGGGCTGTCACCTTTTCTGATTTAATCCTCCAACTGCTGTTTGAGGGAACTGTCACTATTTTATAGATGACTAAATCAAGATTTATTCTGCCCTAAGATTACAACTCTTAGATTACTGCTAAGGGAGAGGAAGACCTCTGCCAAGGGCAGGACAAGTTCTGTTTCTTGAAGAAGGCAGGGGTTGTAGAATAGGGGTTCTGTGTCCAGGAACTCCCAGAACTAGACTTCCAGCAGCCACAGGTGGTGGGCTAGCCCTTTTTGTTGAACCATTTCTCTTCCTTTTTTCCTCATCAGCAACACCCTTCAAATGACTACATCAGGTATCAATTATTTTTAGGTTACACAGTCTGGTGTGTAGATCTTCTCAACACAAACATCTTCCCGCTTATGTGGTGCTAAAATTCTGTATGACCAGACAGTTGGCAACAACAGAGTTTTTTGTTTTTTAAAAAAGTTTCATATGCAAATGAACTAAATGATTGATTTCGAGTTTAGTAACATGGCTAAACCCAAACGTTTCCATTCAGTAAACACAAATGTAGAATATACTGGCACAGAAGGAAAGGCTTTGGAATGAATTACTGCCTTTGAAAACAGTGCCACAGGTGTGACTTTAACACAGCCAACTTCCTCCTAAAGGAAAACTGTCCCAATGAGTATTAAACAAAAAACAAAACCTTTTAATGTATTGATTGTTGAGTATGTCTTGCTTTCCTTAAGTCATTTTGACCACTTTGTCCTCTTTCAAAGTGTTCTGACACTGATTGGGAATGGTTCTATTGTTTCTTTGTACATGAATGGGTCTGTCAGGTCATGGGTGAGTGCCATGCACATAGCAGACAGTAAATACTAAATAAAAAAGGAATGTGCATCTGTGTGATAATTAGTAAAGGATACTTGATTACAAAAGAAAGTTCAAAAGAATTCCTTTATGCTGTTGTTTGAAGCAAGTGCGTGAACATCCATTTATAATATAGTTACCTTTCAGAAACATAATTTGACCTCGAGTTTACAAAAGCAAACATTGTCAAAGCAGAGGTCTATTGTTTAAAAAAAAAAAAAACTGAGAAAAGTTGATGAGCCTATTCCACAGGCTAATATATAATCAACTTCATGTGTTTATATATACCAAAACAGCCCACCAGTCTCTTCTGTCATATTTTGAAATTAAGAAAAAATTTTTTTGCCAGTTATATGCAACTGATGTGGAAGCTAATGGTTGTCTCAGGCTATGAAATGGGGATTTTTCTTTTTTGCATATTTATGTTTTCTGCGTTCCTTTACTCATTAAGTAACAGATGAGTAGAAACAGAAAGATAGTGCACTTTTTCATTCCATGATTGCTTCTCTTTTTTTTTTTTTTGAGAGATTCCACTGATCAACTATTTTTTCTGAAACCAAAATGAAACAAAGCCTTAAAGCAAAATATAACAGTTCTTGCAGACTTCACTATGTGTTGGGTTTACAAGTGTGTTAAAGCTAGTTTTAAAGGTAGATTGTTGCCCCTACTTCAATTCCTATTTTGAAAAAATGTCATTTTCTTCTCTTTTTAAAATCAGTATATGGTCATTTCTGTGATCTTGACTGTTTTTGCAAGGAATAAAATTAATCTCTTAACTTTTTTTATCCACACCCGCTTAAGAAGGCAGTGGGGTGCAGTGGGTGTCCACAGTAAGGATCACTGCCTTGTCTCAACCACTTAGGCCTAGCGTCTGTCAGACGTTAACACAGTGTGATGGATAAGGAGAACATGGAAACCCAGAAGACTGCAGTGGCAGGACAGGGTTTGTGAGACGTGGGCAGGCTAGGGTACAACTACAATAAAAAGCGTGGAATTTTCCACAGTTGTGATTATGAGTCCTTTTGGGAAATCACTAGTGACTATAAGCACTGGTTTGCTGGTTTATATTATAGATCAGTTAACACCTGCTAGTTATTTTAGTGTCCCTTCACTTTCAAAAAGTTCCAGTTTGGATGGTAAGATACGACCATGCCATATGTAGCCCAACTGGATTTTCATACATTTAGATTGCTAGTGGACCTAAACGTTTGACTGGATGTGTACATAGGCCTGTTAATGCTTGATTTGAGGAGTGGTTTGGTAGCCAGAGTTGGTATAAAGTCAAGACATGCCTTAATGTAGGAATCACTCCCAGGCAATGGATAGATACGACACACCAAAAAACAAAGCAATAAAGTGCCCCATTTGTGGCAACATGAATTCTATTTAGAATGCTTGTAAATTTTCCTGGGGGGTAAGGGGAACAAAACTTTCAACTAGAGATGACTTTCCATTCTAAGGCTTTATGGGAGATTTTAAAGACATGTTGATTCTACAGGGAGAAAAACAATGAAATCACCTACTTGGTGAAGATTAAGGACAGCAAAAAAAAAAAAAAACCTGTAAGAAAGAAATTTTGCTTGGGAACCCAAAAAGCAAATCTGATGATGGTTTCTGCCATTTTGGATTTACTTGTATTAGTAGTCCCTGCTCGTACACATTCCGCAGTCACCGATGCCCCCCTCCTAAGGAAGTAAACTGAAAGTCCTGGTTCATAAGGACTACGATGTTAGGGACTACATGTTAATAACAAAATTTCACTGTTGAATCAACAGGATTTTATTATATTCACAGCTTTGATTTTTCCTTCCCAAGTTCTTTATGGTATCTACACAAAAATTCCCAGACCCAAGGAAGTGGATTTTAATGTAAATTTCTTCAATCAAATTATAGGAAAGAGAAAAAATAATTTCTGGATATTCTCATCAGCACAATCTTAATTAAGTACCCCCCCTTCTTCCTTGTGATACTCCTAATGGGCTAACTACTCCAGCACCAACACCCTATCAGTCTTACACATTCACCCTGCCTAGTTTCCTTTTTATTTACTTTTCTAGTGCACAGAACATTTACTGGAAAAATACAGATTCACTTAAATTCTCTGAAACTTTCAAAGCCTAAACTTTGCTCTCTGAGGTGCTTTTACATTTGTGTTTTAACAAGTTAATAAAAATGTAAATAGTGTCAATTAATGCAGAATTTAGGGTATTTTTAAGCTTGCCAGTTAAAATCACACTTGTTAATTGCTGCTGAGTGGATTCCAACTCATGGCAACCCCATGTGTGCAGAGTGAAACTGCTCCACTGGGCTTTCAAGGCTGTGACCTTTTGGAAGCTGACTGCCAGGACTATCTCCTGAGGTGCCTCTGGGTGGCTGGGTTCCAGCTGCCAACCTTTTGGCTAGTAGTTGAGCACTTAAACCCGTTTGTGCCATCAATGGGAGAAATACAGGAGAGCTTTGGAAGAGGCAAGGTTTAGTCAGAATTGAACTTTAAGATACAATGAAGGAAAAATTTTCTTCAAAATGGTACAGAGGGAAGGTCCATGAAGGTCTTACCTTAATAGCTAATAACGGTCATAATGTACATAAATAGATGCTTCAAACTATTTTCAAGATGCTCTTCCCCAGCCTCAGCAGTTCCCCCATTGTATTTATATTGTTAATTTTGACTAGCTAAGAATAAAGCAATTGGCCAAATCCTGTTTAAATTTCAAACTAGAGTAGTAGGGCTGCAGTCGGCTGTTACCTGAAAGGTTGGTTCAAACTCACCCAGCGGCTCCACAGAAGAAAAGGCCTGGAGGTCTGCTTCTGTAAAGATTACAGCCAAGAAAACCCTATGGAGCAGTTCTACTCTGTAACAAAAGGTCGCTATGAATCGGGGTAGCTCCACGGCAGCTAACAACAATTATGGCACAGGACTGGGCAATAGTGTTCTGTTATAGATAAGGCCATTACCAACTGGAGCCAACTCTATCGCAAACTAACAATTAGGCCTGTTTTATAAAGGCAAAACGTTCGATTACCCTTAATAAGTATACAACAGGAGACCCTTTATTTCCAAATTCATATTCTGCTGCTTTAATTCTTGACCAGCATAAAGCATCATGACAGATATTTGCCTCTTGACCTCAAAAGACAGTAGCATGTATAGTTTACATAATACTTTAACAATCTTTAATTATTCTTAAAACTAGGGAAAGATTGCCAAAGCCTAATTAACAGTAACTCCCCCCTACCCCCCATTTCTTACCTCATTCCACCAATACCTTTGCCCTTTTCTAGTCTTAAGCACCTTTAAGGAGATCCAATTTCCTTTGGAAGTTTAAACCATAAGGAAGTAATAAAGCAAATGTTTGCTTGTCCCCAGCATTAGCATTATCATGACACAATTTCTGAGCATTGGTCTTTAAAGGCCCCCAGCTTTTACAAGGCCAGAAGTTTCACAATCTGCTACTATCCCCTTGCCTACATACACATCGCCACACTGATTAAGTAGGCCCTAATGCCACCAAGCTTTTCGCAACGGCTAGAAAAGGGTACAACCAAAGCCACTTGGGCAGCAGGAGCCTACACAGGCAGTGCCAGAGTCGCTGGCGTATTGGTGGATCAACGTTAGCTGCATTTTCGAAATGCGTGCAGTTTGGACAGTTCACGTGTCACATGTGGGCTTAACCCTGCGGCTAAGGGGCATCGGCAAATTCAGGCCTTTCCTGTGACACTCAGTTTCCAAAAACAAATGAATGTTCTTTGAAATAAAGATTCACTGCTTGTCACATTCGCCACTCAAGTCCTGTCATTCAACCAAGAAGACAACCCTGCTTGTGTCAGCGGCAATGGGAAGAAAGGGACGGCAACCAGGAAAAAAAAACAAACAAACAAAAAAAAAAAAACAACCACCGCACCTCTTTTTGCGCAAGCGCAGGGAAGCCTCTCCTATTGGTCACCTCGGTTCGGAAGTGGTTGGGGGAGGGGGAGGGGGAACCAAAACAAAAGGCCTTTTACGCGCATGCGCTTGACTGCTTTTCCGTCTTGGTTAGAGATTGAGGTGGCGTTAACGGCGCCTTCGCGTCTGCAGACTGTAGCCTGCGGGCCCGGGCCGCGGATTTCGGTTCCACGAAGGTTTTCTCTTAGCTTCTGAAATCCTTTGAAAGCTGTCATTCATTTATCCTCAAGTACCAAAAATCTTTGACTGTCTGACTGGTAGACTTCCTCCATGTTCTCTAAATTTTCGGAGCTGTGGGGAGGGGCGGTATAAAAGTAAGTTCTGTGTAGATCTCCGCGCCGTGGCCCGTCCCGCTTTTGACGGCTTTATCCATCAACAAAATACCTAACATTAATATCTTAGTTGCCCACAGCTCACAGGACCCTTTTATTAGTATTGCTCAAGTGCTTGTTTACCACAGACGACGAGAGAACTGAAGTGGTCCAGGCCGTGCTGCTGATTCAGTGTGTAAGGTAAATTAAAGACTATCCAGAAATGATGATTAAAAACCGTTTATTTTTTAGTTGAATGTTTTTGTCTTCATTGTTCCTGGAAGAACGCCAAAATACCGGACTGCCTGGCTCAGCGCAGGACATCTAGCCTACCCACCGACGTGGAGCTTCAGAGCATGGCAACAGAAGAGTCAGGAGACGCAAAAGCGGAGTCAGCCCGCTCCTCATCAGCCAATCCGAGCAAGCAAATGCCTGAAAAACCAAACTATACTCTCAGATTTACTCTCGTGGGACATACGGAGGCAGTATCATCCGTTAAGTTTAGTCCTAGTGGAGAATGGCTAGCAAGTTCTTCTGCCGATAAACTAATTAAAATCTGGAGTGCCTATGATGGAAAATATGAGAAAACACTGTATGGTCACAGTCTGGAAATATCAGATGTTGCCTGGTCATCGGATTCCAGTCGTCTTGTTTCTGCCTCAGATGATAAAACTCTGAAGATATGGGATGTGAGATCTGGAAAATGTTTGAAAACACTAAAGGGGCACAGTAATTATGTCTTTTGCTGTAATTTCAACCCGCCATCCAACCTCATCATTTCTGGATCTTTTGATGAGAGTGTGAAAATATGGGAGGTGAAAACAGGAAAGTGCCTCAAAACTTTGTCTGCTCATTCTGACCCGGTTTCTGCTGTTCACTTTAATTGTAGTGGGTCCTTGATAGTATCAGGTAGCTATGATGGTCTCTGTAGAATCTGGGATGCTGCATCAGGTCAGTGTTTAAAAACACTTGTTGATGATGATAACCCTCCTGTCTCTTTTGTACAATTTTCTCCAAATGGTAAATATATTCTCACTGCGACTTTGGACAGTACTCTTAAACTATGGGATTATAGCAAGGGCAGATGCCTGAAGACATATATTGGACATAAGAATGAGAAGTACTGCATATTTGCCAATTTTTCAGTTACTGGTGGAAAGTGGATTGTGTCTGGTTCAGAGGATAACCTGGTTTACATATGGAACCTTCAGACTAAAGAGATTGTACAGAAATTACAAGGTCACACAGATGTTGTGATCTCAGCAACTTGCCATCCTACAGAAAACATCATTGCATCAGCAGCATTAGAAAATGACAAAACAATTAAACTATGGATGAGTGACTACTAACCCCTTTTGAAATCAGGTAGTAGAGCCAAGTTGGCAAAAACTTGGATATTTAAAAAGATGGTTTCTTTGAAGTTTGGCGTGGTTTTGTATTTCTTTTTAAAATTGTCTTTGATTGTAATATTTTAAGAGACTTACCACCTACATTTACAAAGCAAGACAGTCTAGAATCTCGGGCTTCTGACTTCGCATCTTGAGGCCTGTTATTAATCTCTTGTGGCTGTCCTTGGACAGCTTCCTGTTTTATTCCTCTTCATGACTATTCTAGAGAATCAGTCTATTTGAGAAATATTTAGAAATAAGGGTGACAAGACAGGATGACTGATTAAATGAGGGGAGCACGGGAGCCTGGAGTAACTTCAAGGTTCCTGGTTTGGGAGATCAGATGAATAAGGGCAGAAGTCTGGAATGGTGGTGGAGGATTGGAGATGCATGTCAGGTGTCACCCACACACTCCAAGTAATACCCTACACAATAGGGCAGGGAACAGCACATCCATGAAATCAAGTCTGTCAACTGTGAAAAGTAAGTCATGGTTACGTTTGTTCTGTGAGTGTAAAAGTTGTAAGTTTACATCAAGATAAAAACTAAAAATAGAACAGCGTAAATGGCACCTTCCTGAAGTCCTCACTACCTTGCCAGGTTGTGCCCTCTCACAATTTTCAGGCAAGCTGTCTGAGGGGTGTGACAGTCTCTTCTGCATTATGAGTCTCACCTACTAACTCCTCCCCATCCTTTAAACGCAGCTCAGAAGCCACCACTTTGTGAAGCCATCACTACCTGCTGCCTGCAACCACAGCGGACAGTGGAGTTAGGTTTTTCTGCTGCTTTCTATAGCTTCTGTTATACAATTCAAAATATATCATTTACCAATTTGTTTTGTAATTTTATCACACACCATGTTTCCACTAGACTGTGCTCTGTGGAACTAGGAAGTGTGTTTTATTCATTTCTGTATTCTCAGTTTTTACACAGCGAAGGGACTCAGCTAATGCCTGATGAATGACAATGATTGACATCACCACAGCTTTCATTGCTTCCTTCCCTGCTTTCAATACGGTTCATTAATAAGTTCCTAAACTCTATATCCTCAAATATTAACTTACAGGAACTTAAAGGCTTACAGGAAATATAAAGGGGAAAACAGTTTCTGCCCACTTTACCTATGGAGACATGATAAATATGTAAAAAATCAGAAATTAAGCAAAACGTATTACCAAAATAATTTAACTGAAAACAACAAGGGTAAAACTATCTTACTTCTTTTGTATTCCATAGTACCTTAATAGTGCTTATTAAATTTCATTTGCTTGGTGAACGCTGAGGAATCTAAGATACTAGAGTTATTAGAAGGGAATGACTGCTAAGAGCTTGGTATGTGAGGGTACTGGGAGAGATGGGATTCGTTAGGGCAGGTCTGAAATCCTGGCCAAGAAATTTATATTTAACCCATAAAGAAACAGCAGTCACTATAAGTTACTGAATAGGATAATGACATAAAATGAGAAATGACTAAATTCTTGCTGCATGGCAACATTTGTGAGCTTTCGTTTAATGAAACAGCTTTATTATAGCAAATCTTTAAATGCCTCTTCAAAAGTTAAAAATAGTATTGTTCTATGAAAGACCACTATTCTAAAAATTTACCGATTTCTACAACATTGGTTTAAGTAAGATGCAAACATAGGTGTCCCAAAATAAGCAAGAAACAATACCTTTTGATGATAACTTTGCAACTGATAAAAATCAAATAACTTGATATCTATAAAGAAAGTCAAGTCAAATGACTCTATACTATAAAGTATACAGACGTTAACAACACTGTCAGATAGATTACGAAGCTATGGGTAGAGTATTTCATTAAACTAAGTTCCCCAACTGTGACCTGGGGAGAACTAGCATGTTGGCATGGCTACGCAGACTTGTCACCATTAATATTCATGAAGCAGGTGAGAATAAGTGAAATGGGTAAAACAGAAACCAGCATCCATACCTAAATATGAGACAATAAGTCAAACTATAAATGAGATACATACCAGGTGTAAATGCTTATCTTTCAACGCTCATAAGAAAATACATTAGAGAGATTTTCACAATTAAGAAATTGAGTGTAAAAGCAGCAGGAAAAGGACGAGTTGGGAACTCCAAGCCATGGAGCAGAAGAGGTGACTGCTTGCCCCAAACAACTCCATGATGTTGGGGTTCCTTGGTCCTCAGAGACTCATGGCCGGACCGCTCTCATCCCTTTGCCAGGACTTATTAAAAAACTGCCCTCCTAACAGCCTCTGTCTGCCAGCATGCCATACGATGACCGGGAGCGTGGTCTGGCTACTTCCCAAGGCTCTACGAAGCCTCATGGCACGTAGGGAGGCCACCCTCCAAGATGCACCTGGACAGTGTCCTCAGCAGTCAGGCCTGATTTCTCCAGAAATGAGTACACAGAAGAAAAGCCAAACCCGTTGCCACTGGGTTGATTCCGACTCATGGTGACCTCATGTATAACAGTAGAATTGCTCCATGGGGTTTCCTTGGCTGTAATCTTTATCTGATTGCCAGGCCTTTCTTCCATGGTACCACTGGGTAGGTCTGAACCACCAACCTTTAGGTTAGTAGACAAATGCAAACTGTGCTGTCAAAGAACTAGACAGCACTATGGCCTTTGGGGAAAAGTCTCTTTGGTAATGGGAATAAAAGATAATGCTACCTGAACTTCTAAAGGAGAGTTAATATTAAAGTGGAAACAGGTTGTCTCATTTTTCATTCTTTCATTTTCTCCAAAAGGCTGAGAGGCTGCGTTTTACTTGGATCAAAGCCATAAAACAGACAAGTTATTCTTTAAGAAAATTTATTTGTACCTCTAGAGCAGATATAGGTAAGTTTGTGCAAACAATACTTTTATGAAGTGCATCCTCATACCACATCCTTTTCAATACACGCTTGCTGCTGCAACATTACTGCTGGATTTTCAGAAGCCAGCCGCCGTGGATACTCTGCTACTCTGCTTTGGCCTTCATGGCTGCTTCCTCTCTCAGACGAGCTTTCTTTTCTAAGTTTAGGCTTGTTAAAGACTCGTGTCTTTTGGCAGCCTAAAGGGAAACCAATTTTAACAGGTGATTATTTGTGCCAGTTTGGGGTGGGGGTGGGGGTGTCAGGATGTTGCACCGATGACAGCAGGTTAACCAGGGCAGTCCAGGCACGTTGGGGTCAGCTGCTTGGACAGCGGGCACGGCACTTTCCTCTGTGCGCCTTCTGTTTCCTGATGGCTCAGGATATAGTGGCCAATCCATTCAAGCACAAGAAACCCCACCCCTCTCCCTTCTCTTCCTTGTGGCCCCTGTCTTTAAACCCTGGAGCCTCTCTTCCTCCCTCACACCTCATCGCCTTGCCCTTCCTTTTTTCTTCTCTATAGTGGCAAATCCTGATTTCGTTTCTGTCCCTTTTTTCCTTTCACTGTTCATTTCTCCTCCACTTTCATACTTCCACACCCTTCCAGCTCCTACTCCTTTCTTACCAAAAACATTCAGCTTTGGGGATCCTAAACTTACTGGTGACTTCCTTCCAGCAGTCTCTATCCTAATAATCCAGGCTTTGAGAGCAAACAGCAGTGGGGAGAGGCAACCATCCTCTACCCTTGTCCCCTCCACATGAGCGGCTACACACATCGCTGTGACTTACACAAACAGGCCAGTTTCAAAATTTTTATACCAAACAAGTGAAACTAGCAGCTCACCAGCTGGTATCTTTTTACATCCGTGTAATCTCACAAGTTAAGAGTTAGGTTTGGGGAGGGGAGTAGGAAGTTGGTGGTGAGAAGGACATAACGTACAATGGCTAAATCCTCTTCTAAATCACTTAGTTCGGAAGCTCTCTACTGCGGTAGCGTTTACCAGTTTGGCCCAGTCTGAGCTTCAGGGAGAGAACAGAAATAATGACCACAAGAATCAGGTGAGGAAAAGGAAGGCCACATCCTGAGAGTGCTTTATAAACACGCAAGGGATTATTATCAAATATGTCAGCGTCATACTTCCTGTTTCACATTATTTATGATACCTGTGGTAATGAAACGGTTTTTTTTGTTTTTTTACTTTACACAAAACTAATTTAGTCCTCCTTCACCACACCAAAGTTAGGATGCTATTTCACCCCCGAGCACGTTATCCCAGCTTTGTCCCTCCCAGGCCTTATTTTGCTTGTTTCTGATGATTTCTCGTGTAGAAAGTGGCCTCCTGTTCTCTGAGTCCATACAAGAGTCAATCCCTGCTTTCCTCCAGGTTCTTCGTGGAAAACACACGGAGGATGAGAGAAAACACACACTCACCTTCTTTCCCTTGATAACCATGAAGATGCATCCTGCCACCGTCAGGGCGATCATCAGATAGCTGATCTTCACTCGGATCTTGTTCTTGGCAGCATCGAGCATCTCAAACCTAATCCAATGGGATCACGAGAGAAAGTTACTAGCTTCTTTTTCTGAGGTCACCACCAGGACACAAAGCTCTGCGTACCACAAATCAGAAGTGCAGTGGGGCCTATAAATAAAAAAGAGGTGGGGCCTGGAGATCTTGTAAGACCTTGGGCGGAGGGGAGACGGTATTTCCACGTTATATATAAAATACAGTAAGATAGCCCAGGTTTTAAAGCTGGACAAAAGCAGTAAGAAGAAAGTGTGAAGACAGAAAGGGTGGCCAGGAACGAGGCCCAAAACAAAACAAACCCACAGCAAGGCGTGTTAATGTGTACTGGCGATGGCGCGCTCTGATTCGGACGCTGAGGTCTCCAGCAGCCGATGCTGAGAGAGAGCTGGTTAGCACGCTGTTTACTATGTGCCGAGAAAACCAGCAGCTGTTTCTCCCTGGGGTTATCAGGAAGAAGATATATGTGACATAAGGACTGTCTGAACAATACCTTCACAACAGATACTGCAGTGAGCTTCACGGTTTTCAACACAAAGCGCAATTCCGAAAAAACAAACACGGGGGAGAGTTCAACTATGGGCTCCATATGCCTAGCTTTTTGCTCTCTGTCTTGAACCAGGAATAGATTTTAGAATATCTGAGACAGCAGAAAGGTCCTTTAAGCAATTCTCCCTTAATAGTTTTCTTTTAGCTAATGTTTTGCTAAAACTGACTGACAGTGAACTTGAGATCAATGCTCTTTGGCAAGTGCTTTGAGTGTTGTTCTTCTGAACTGCTGGTTACAGACCCATGTGCCTTAACAGAGACTTGAGGGTTGGATTATCGTTCTTGTGTGAAAGCTAAGAGACCTAACCAAGAAGAGCCTAAAGAGAAGCCACTCCACCTTGGTGATGTTACAGGTAGGCTGAAAGGCCATTTCCGTGGGTCATGGTTCTAGTACCTGGGTGTGTGGTAGACACCTCGAGGCCAGGCATATGGAGTCTTACTGGGGCCCAGGATAGAGAACTTCTGGCCTACTCAGAAATGATTATCTCTAGATAAAAGGACTGCAGTGCTTTCACTGTCTTTGTATTTTCCAGATTTTAAGACATATTACTTTTGAAATCTGAGCGGTGGTGTGCAGAGGGAGGAGGACCTGGGACACTGTAGATGGGGACAGGAAGAGGACCCTGAAAGCATAGATGATGTAATGTGACAGTGAGGCAGCAGTGTGGCTAGGACAGGCACTGGGGCTGGGCCTGCAGGGTGGCAGGAAGCAGGGACAACTGCCAAGGTCAGTGGATCACTCAGGAGCATCTGAGAGCCCACCAACCACAGACTAACCACTCACATTGACAATATTTCATGTGAATTGGCATTTCTAACTGAAGTGCTGTAATCCTCACGAAAAGTGATATATTTTCCATTTGAGGGGACACCGAAGAAGTAAAATGCATTTAAATGAGGTAATGAGGTCACTCTCCAGCATCTAGGGAGCAATAAGAACGGGCAAGTTACGCACAGCCTGTTCAGAACTACCAGCAGAAGGACAAAGAGTTGCCCAGGCTCCAAGGGGAGCTTCCCACGGTGACTCACTGGGCAGGGCTTTGGGCCTGAGGAGTTCTGGGAGCCCCCTACAAGGCAGACGGGAAGGTGTGCCTCAGTAGGTCTATGCAGCACCCATCAGGGCTATGAGGATATACCAGCTGGTTTTCTGCTGGGATATTCAGGAGGAAATTAGGGCACAGGCAAGAACTGATGCCATTCTCATATCCTGCGTGCTCTCACTTCTAGGGGACCACACTGTCACTGTAGCTCGGGAGGCCAGGGCTCTCCTGCTGCCATGGTCCTGGTGAGAAGAATATGCTATGTGATTGCACTGTCAGGAGCAGAAGGGCTGTGTTAAAGCTGTTGTAAATAGAAAGCAGATCCTACCTATCTTTCTGGAAAAGATACCCTGAATGAACCCAGATCTTTTTCAACCATGACTTGAAACCAGAAGCCAGCGGGTCCAGGAGTAGTTTCTTGCCATAAGGGAACTTCTGGGACCTGTGTCGCAAACCCCTGTCTCTGAACAGGATGATGCCCACAAGGGATATGGCATCTTTCTCAGGATCTCTCCTGGCCAAGTTGGCATCCAATCAGAGCCTTTAGCATCAGGCTGGAGCAGTGGTTGTCAGCCTCGGCTGATTCTGCCGCCCCGCGGCTGTTTGGCAATGTCTGGAGACAGTGGTACTGGCATCTAGGGGGTGAGAAGCCAGGGGTGCTGCCACACACCTCACAATGCACAGGAACAGCTCCACAACAAAGAATTATCTGGTCCAACTGTCACAAGCGCTGAGGTTGAGAAACCCTGGGCTGGAGGAACCTGTACTCACCATCCACAAACTGAAAAATCCCCAAGATCCCAGCTGGAGCTGGGTTTAAGGAAGTAGGTGACAGGAGCCACTTTCCTGGATCCCAGAAAGAGAATGTGCTGCATTTAAATACTTTTACATCTAAGGCTGAATACTTGAGAGGATTTTGTAGACAACAGTTATGGTTACTGGTACCTAATTTATTTACCCAGATTAAAAACAAAAGTGAACATTGTTGTTGAATGACATTTCTGCAGCTAGGAGATTAAATCAAACAATCAGTTGACTTCAGCGTGCCTGACGGCTCTTCACTACACACTAAACGCCACATCAATCGTAAGACAGATTCGCCAGTACTGTTTTCATTCCCAGTACTCGCCAAAGAGGAAACATTTACAGAAATAAAAAAATGTTTTAAAAATTTGGTTGAAAGGTTTCAAGAAGGCGGAATTCAGAGGAACTGCTTTTCCTTTAAAACAGATCAAAAACAAAAAAAACAAACTTGTTGCTGTTGAGTTGATTCTGACTCCTGGCGACCCCTTGTGTTACAGAGTAGAACTGCTCCACAGGGTTTTCTTGGCTGTAATCTTTCTGGAAGCAGATCACCAGGCCTTTCTTCCATGGTGCTACTGGGTGGGTTCAAACCTCCAAACGTTAGGTTAGTAGTTGAGTACAAACCATTTGTGCCACCCAGGGACCCTGAAAACAGATCTGTGAGAAGTAAAAGCTGCCTACAGTCTGAAGCAGAGCACTCACGAGATAGTCTCTGGGATATCTTCTTCCTTTTTGAAGCGACCTGACCACATCAGGATCTTCCGCTCCCAATCTGTAGGTTTGTGTAATGGCACCTTGTGGCTGTAAGAGTCTACGAGAAAAACCCGATGAGAAGTCTTACTTATCTGAGATTATGACTCCCAAACTTAGCAACAGTAAAATGCTGTTTGTGCTTTTCAGCTATTCATTAAACAGAAACACCAAGAAACCTCAAGCTGATAAGAAGTTTCTTTGAATAGACTTTCTCAGGATGTCTTCTTTCTCAAATGAGACTCCAAAATCCCGTGAGGACAGACGTAAAATGAAAGCATTATTTCCCAACAGAAGCCCCAATCAAGCAAAGGTGAAAGCACACCACGAACGAAGATACGAAGGTAAGGGTGCACTAAGGGAACAGTGTGAGGAGCTCGTCTGACTTCAGAATAAAGGAAAGGTTGTAAGATAAGGTCAGATTGTAAAAGGCCCTGAATGCCAGATAAAGGACTTTAGACATGATTTGGGAACTACTGTACATTTTGAAGCAAGGAAGAATTAATGTCTCAGGAAGATTAATCTGCACAGCAGAGGAAGGGAGAAAGTAGGGGACAGGGCAGAATGGAAAACACATCCAAATAGAAAGTGGTAAAATAAGGGTGAGGTGATATGGTCTGCACTAGAGTTTAAACAATGGGAAGAGAGATGAAGGGGCCAATGTGAGAATGACCAGAAGAATTTGGGGACTGATTAAGATGAAGAAGAAAGAATAACGGAAAGCCTCAAACTTGGATGACGAGAATAATGACTGCACTGTTGACCAACATAAGGAGGCTGTGCGAAGAACCAGTTACGAAAGGCAAAAGCCTGAATGTCATTTGAGATTTGTTGAGCCTGAAGGGAATTTATGCCATCTGAATAGGTTTTACTTAGTTTCGATCGTAAGTCAGGAGTGACAAAGGGAGAGTTGGTGAGAGTGATAAAGAAGAGTAGAAGCCAAGGGCTGAGCCCTGGGGTATGACCAAAGAAAGGGGACTGGAGATAGCGGCAGCAGAGGGAAATGGAGTGGCCAAAGGAGCAGAAGAACAAGAAAAGTACAGAACCACAGTGTTATGGATTGAACTGTGTCCCCCAAAAGGATATGTTGAAGTCTTAACCCCTTTGTCTGTGAATGCGACCCTACCTGTGAATGGGACCCTGTTTGGAAACAGGATCTCTGAGGATGTTGTCAGTTAGATTAACATGAGCTCACAATGGAGTATGGTCAGTCCTAATCCTAAATGACTGGTGTCGCTATAAAAGAGAAGAAGACACACAGATACAGAGAAAGGATATCATAGGATGCTGCAAGTCAAGGAATTCCTGGAGCTACCAGAAACTAGGAGAGAGATATGGAACAGATTCTCCCTCAGAGCCTCAGAAGGAACCAACATGGCTGATACCCTGATCCTGGCCTCCTGGCCTCCAGAACGTGAAACAATAAATTTCTGTTCTTATAAGCTACCCTATTTGTGGTATTTGGCTAACAACCCTAGAAAATTAATATGCACAGAATGTAAAGAGAGTTTTTGACAGGGGAAGTCGTTGAAGAAAAGGGGCAGAATAGGTCAGGGAATCAGAATGTCAGGTTAGAAGCACCGTGGAGATAATTTCCAGTTCCCATCCTCTGCCTTCATCTCCCTTGCAGACAGATCATCTCCTTGAATGTTACCTACACCTCATACTCATTCCCACCTCCATACCTTCGCTTATGCTGTTCCTTTCACCTAATCAGAAGACCACAGCAAAAGGAACAGAAAAGTCACTAGGAAAAAAATAGAGAACCAACAGCAAGAAAAGAAGTTTGGAAGTGTAAAAATAGTGCTGCTGTAGTCTTGTCCCTTAGCCCCTTCAATGCTTGACACAAGTCTCTCTACAGGTTTTTTTTTTTTTTTTTTTTTTGAGCATTTTATAGCAATACATACCCATTACAGAAAATTCAGAAAATACAGATGTGAAAGAATAAAAAAAAAAAACCATCCATAATCCTATTGTCATAGATAACTACTACATTTTTATTTTGATATGTTTCTTAAGTCTTATCCCCACAAGCATGCATGCATGTATGTATTTGTGTATAATTTATGTGTATCATGTTTGGGCTTACATGTAAGATAAAATCTTGCATCCTGCTTTGTTCGTTAACATTTTCCATGCTAGTACACGGCTTCTGTAAGTACCATTTCCAATAGTTGTATAATATCCCATCAAGGCGATCTAACATACATAGTTAATCATTCCCTGATTATTTGACATTTAAATTTATTTATTATTTTCCCATTATACATAAATAATGGGGGCATCTTTAAACTCAAGTGTTTTTTTGTATACAGACTTATTTCTTAGGCTAGATCCCCCAGAGGCCAAAGAACATGGGCATTTTTAAGCTCTTGATAAATACTCCTTGGAGATGGTTCCTCTCCACTCACCAAGACCTGTCTGGCCCAAGTGTACTCCTACGAAGAAGCAGCAGGCCAAACACTACCTGTGACAGTTTTATATTATGCCCCTTCTTCCCAGAGTGGTGACAATGACAAGCTTAGGCATACGACTGGAGCGAGCTAGACTTGATGCCCAAGTCAGAGCTTAGCCCTGGTTATATTTTACCCAAACATCAATTCTTGATTTGGCTCATCTTTGGAGCCCCTTAAAAGATAATTTCTAGACCACTATTTACTTTGGGGTATCTATGTTCCTACAAAACACTCCAGCCCAGCCCTTGAGGTAAGAGAGCAATGAAAATGACAAACGAGGAAAATGAAATCATTGCTACATGTGAGAGCATAGGCCACGTAAGTACAATTTAGGGGCCTGGCCTGCATGATAGGATGTGATGTGGGAGCCCCTATGACTACCTCTCTTTAGGGTCTTTTGATTCCAGGATGTTCTATTCTTTGGGTGCTGCCTCATCCATAACTGGAAAAATCCAGGAAAACTTACGGGATGGAGCTTTTGGACTTTCCTGTGGTTTGGTGCAAAAACCATTTCTTCTCTTCAAATCAGTGCTTCTGGTGAGCCTTATAGACAAGGAAACATCTCTTTCACACGACCTAAAAAAACTTCCTAGAAAAGAGAGAAAAATGTTTCAGAGAAAGAAAATATGTGGTTTTCTCAAAATGAGAAATGCCTACAGATTATATATTTCATTTATAAAATTAACTCATTTTAAAATAAATATACTATACTGTATATAAGGTACATATACTATATTTAAGGTGCTATTTTAAAATATACATGTTTTGCTGATTAGGAAACAAAATAATTTACAAGATACAAATTTTATCAGCTTTAACTTTTATGTAAGTACTTCTCTGATGTATCTTGTTAAACATTAATGTTTCTGGTAGCAACATTATGCATTACGGCACCAGGGCTGGTTAGTAGAGATTAGCAACCTTCCAGAAGTGATAAACCAAGTGGCTATCAACACTGTTCTGGTAAACTCTGGGTAATAGGCTGCAATGGCCAGCAGGGGGCTCTTCAGAGTCTTGCTCCTTCCAAATCACAACTCCCCAATTAGAAAGTTTAGATGTAGTCATTAATTATGTGTAATTTAAAAAACTACACAGTTAACTTTTTGAATGTAAAATTTTAAACACATACAAAGTAGAGAGCAGCATAACAAACCCCATGTACTCATTACCCAATCCAAAAATCCAAATCTGTTGCTGTTGAGTTGATTCCGACTCATAGCAACCCTATAGCTTCAACAATTAATACGTGACTGATATGGATTCTGTCCCTCCAAAAAGATACATTGAAGTGCTAACCCCTGTTACCTGTGAACATTAACCTATTTGGAAATTGCATCTTTGAAGATGTTACCCGTTAATATGAGGTCATATTGGAGAACCAGCTGCCCTCGAGTTAATTCCAACTCATGGCGATCATATGTGTGTCAGAATAGAACTGTGCTCCATAGGGTTTTATTTTTTTTATTGCAGTGACAATATACATAATATATGCCATCTAAACACTTTCTACATGTACAATTCAGTAACACTGGTTATATTCTTCAAGTTGTGCAACCATTCTTGCTATCTTTTTCCAAATCATTCTGCTACTATTCACAGAAACTCAATACCTCCTAAGCAAAAACTCCCCCTTTCCACCTTCTTCCCAGCCCTGCTAACAATAATTTTTGGTTTCTATGTATTTGCTCTTTTCCTATAAGTGAGATCATACAATAGTTGTCCTTTTGTGACTGATTTTGCTCAACATGATGTTTTCAAGGCTCATCCATGTTGTGGCATGCATCAGGACTTTCTCTTTATGGCTGAGTAGTATTCCATTGTGTGAACACACCACATTTTGTTTATCCATTCATCTTGTTGGTGGCCATTTTGGTTGTTTCCATCTTTCGGCTATTGTGAAAAGTGCTGCAATAAATATCAGCATATAGGTTTATGTCTGTGTTCCTGCCTTCACTTCTTCTGGGTATATCCATAGGGTTTTCAATGCTGATTTTGAGTAAATCACCAGGCCTTTCTTCTAAGGTGCCTCTGGGTCACCTTGAACCTCCAACCTTTTGGTTAGCAACCAAGCACTTAAACCATTTGCACCACCCAGGGTCTACCATATTGGAGTACCCATTGCCATCGAGTCGATTTCAACTCACAGAGACCTTATAGAACAGAGTAGAACTGCCCCATAGGGTTTTCAAGGAGTGGCTGGTGGATTTTTGCTGCCAACCTCTTGGTGAGCAGCAGAGCTCTTAACCACTGCGCCACCAATCCAATATGGGTGGTGCCTTTATACCAGAGGAGAAGAGATACAGAGAGAAGACAGCCATGTGACAACACGGCAGAAATTGAAGCTGCAAGTCAAGGCCTTATAAAATGAGGTGGAAGTGAGCCCTCTGCTGCTGTTTTTTGGATGTTCATAAAGCATTAATTCTAACTCTTCTTATATGCCTGTTAGAATTCACCAAGGAGCCTGGGTGGTTAAGGGCTCGGCTGCTAACTGAAAGGTCAGCCATTCAAAACCACCAGCTGCTCGGGAGAAGGATGTGGCAGTCTGCTTCCGTAAAGATTACAACCTTGGAAACGCTATGGGGTAGTTTTACTCTACCCTATAGCATCGCTATGACTCAGGATCGACTCGATGGCAGTAGGTAGAATTCACCACTGAAGCCATATTGGCCTGGGCTTGTCTTTGCAGGAAGCTTTAAAATGACTAATTTGACTTCTTTAGTTGTTAGGGAAATTTATTCAGATTTTCTCCTTGACTCAGTTTCAGTAATTTTTGTCTTTCTAGAAATCTATTTCATCTACTTAATTTTTTGGCATACAATTGTTGATAGTATTCCCTTATAGTCCTTTTTATTTCTGTAAAGTCAGTAGTAATGTCCCCTCTTTTATTCCTGATTTTAGTATTTGTGTCTTCTATTTTTTCTTGGTCAGTCTGGTTAAAAGTGTGTCAATTTTGAGGATTTAAAAAAATCAGCTTTTGGTTTTGCTGATTTCTCTATGTATTTTTCTATTCTCTATTTATTTCCCACTCATTTTTCTTTATTATTTCCTTTCTTCTGCTTGTTGGGGTTTAGTGTGCTCTATTTTTTCTAGTTTCTTATGGTGGAAGGTTAGGTTACTGACTTGAGATCTTTTTTTTGTATATGTGTTTACAGCTATAAATTTCTCTCTAAACACTGCTTTAGCTGCATTCCATACATTTTGGCATGTTGTAGCTTCATTTCTGTGCATCTCAAAATATTTTCTAATTTCCTTTGTGATTTTTTTCTTTGGTCTATTATTTAGGAATGTATTGCTTAATTTCCACATATTTGCAAATTTCCCAAATTTCCATCTGTTGTTGATTTCCAGTTTCATTCAGCTGTGGTTGGAGAATAGGCTTTGAGTAATTCCAGCTTTTTAAAACTCATGAGATTTGTTTTGTGGCCTGACATATGGTCCATCCTAGAGAATGTTCCATGTGCATGTGTGAAGACTGTTTTCTGCTGTTGTTAGGTGGATTGTTCTATGGATGTCTGTTAGCTCTAGTTGGTTTAAAGTGTTGCTCAAGTTTTCTATTTCCTTGTTAATTTCTGTTCACTTGTTCTATGCACTATTGAAAGTTAGAATACTGACATCTCCAACTATTATTGTTGAATTGTCTATTTAATTCATCAGTTCCGTCAGTTTCACTTCATGTATTTTGGGACTGTTGTTAGGTGTTTATGTTTGTACTTGTTATGTCTTCCTAGTAGATTGATCCATTTGTGATTATGAAATGTCTTTGTCTCTAGTAACAACTTTTGTCTTGAACTTTATTTTGTATGATATTAATATAGCCACATCAGCTCTTTTGGTTAAAATTTACATAGTGTATCTTTTTATATTCATTTACTTCCAAACTATTTACATCTTTGAATTTAAAGTATGTCTCTTTTAGACAACATATAGTTAGATCATTTTTATTTATCCGTTCCGTCAATCTGCCTTTTGATTGAAGAGTTTAATCCTTTTACATTGAATGCAATTACTGATAAGGCAGGATTTACCTGTGCCATTTTGCTGTTCATCTTCTATATGTCTTTTTTGTTTGTTTGTCTGTTGCTCTCTTCCTCCATTATTGCTTTATTTTGTTATTAAATAGTTTTTTTTTTAGTATTCCACTTAAATCTCATTATCATTTCTCTCACTATACTGTTTTATTTTCTTAGTAGTTGCCCTGGGGATTACAATTAAATCTTAATTTATAACAATCTAGTTCAGATTAATACCAACTTAATTTCAATAGTACACAAAAACTTGGCTGCTATATAACTCAGTTCCTTTTCACCATCTATGTTGTTATTGCCATGACAGGTACATCTTTATACATTATGAACCCATCAACAGTTTTCTAATTATTGTTTGATGCAGCTGTCTTTGAAATTACATAGAAAAGAGTTACAAACAACAAAAAACATTTATACTGTCTTTTATGTTAATCATATATAGTTACCTTTACCAGTGTTCTTTATTTCTTCATATGAATGAGTTAATGTCGAGTGTCCTTTAATTTCAGCATGGAGGATTTCCTTTAATATTTCTGGTAAGATAGGTCTGCTAGTGACAAATTTTATTTTTGTTTTTCTGGGAATGTCTTATTTTTCCTTTTTTTAGTTGTAAAATATATATATCACACAATATTTGCCAATTCAGCATTTTCTAGGTGTTTTTTCCTTCATAGTTGAAGGATAGTTTTGCTGGAAACAGAATTCATGTTTGGCAGTCTTTTTCTTTCCGGACTTCGTATATATCATCCCACAGCCTTCCAGCCTCCATGGTTTCTGATGATAAATCTGCTGTTTATCTTACTGCAGAGCCCATGTACGTGATGAGTCACTCCTCTCTTGCTACTTTCAAGAGTCTCTATTTTTGGTTTTTGAGAGTTTAATTATAATGTGTCTAGATGGAGATCTCTGAATTTACTCAGAGCTTGTCGAGCTGCTTGGATGTGTAATGTTTTTTCATCAAATTTGGGAAGTTTTTGGTCATTATTTCTTTAAATAATGGCCCCAAACTGTCCCTTTCTCTCTTTTCTCTCCTTCTGAGATTCCCATTATGCTATGTTGATATGCTTGATGGTATCCCAGAAGCCTATCAAGTTCTGTTCATTTTTCCTCATTCTTTTACTCAGATTAAATAATCTCTATTGATCTATCTTCAAATTCACTGATTCTTCCGCTGTTGAGCCCCTCTAGTGAATTTTTCATTTTCATTAGTGTACTTTTCAACTCCATAATTTCTACTTGGTTTTTAAAAATTTCTATCTCTTTATTAATATTCTCTATTTGATGAGATGTATTCTCATATTTTTCTTTAGTTCTCCAGGCATGTTTACTTTTGTTCTTTAAACATATTTTTAATAGTAGATTGTCTATCTAGTAAAACCAGTCTCTGGGCTTCCTCAGGAACACTTTCTATTGACTCCTTTTTTTTTCTTCCTTCCCCTGTGTATGGGCCACATGTTCCTCTTTCTTTGCATGTCTTGTAATTTTTTTTGTCAGAAACCGGACATTTTAATTAACCTAATACGGTAACTCTGGAAATCAGATTCTCCCTTTCCCAGGGCTTGTT